CTGATAGCTTAGCCATGTTTCACCCAGCCACACGTAGACATTTATAGATAGATACACACAGAGCTACAAATACAATCACTCAAAGAAAGAGTTTGCAGGATATTCTCCAGGAAGTTCATGTTGAGTGTGTCAGTGAATGTATACATACAGATTACTTTTGTTCTATGAGCTCAACAACTTGCTGAAGTGGCAAACCTTGTGATTGCAGTCCAACTCGGGTTTGGACACCAGTGATGTCAAGCCGCCGCGTAATTTTCATGCGCAAGAGATTCTTCGGGAAGCTCCAAAGGAGCAGCCAGCATAGAAAGCCAAGCGCAAGTGATCTAGTCCAAAAGCGGACAGTAAAAAGAAGAGGAGCAGCTTAGATTTCCCTAAAGGCTTACATGACCCTTAAAAATGCTCAAATCCCCCTTAACAAGCTTTGGCTAGATTCCCAAAACCTCCCCAATTTATTTGCTACTTTTGGTCTAGTTGCACACCGGCTTTGGTCTTGCTGCTGATGATGACTGCGCCGCTGCAGGTTCAGCTTCTTCTCTCTCTGTTGGCTTGGCTGCTGCTTTCCGTTTTGATGTTGCTTTGACCTGAGCTTTTGCTGCCGCCTTTGCACTTTGGGATTGCTCAACTGATTTTTGGCTTGAGTCTGTGGACAGGCTGGTGATGCTGATGTCACTTGTGGCAGGGCTGTCACTACGTGGCTGCGCTTTGAGTTGCGTGTGGCAGCTGCTGGTTTCTTCTTCTGCTTCTTCTTGTTTGCGTCGGAGCTGCCGCTATTGCTGTTCATGCTCCGTTTTGATGCCCTCATGTTTATGATGGTTGCCTCCTCTGTTGGCATAGCGGCATGGTCTTCAGGGTTGGTCTGGCAACGATCCAGCGCCTTGTGTGTCTCCTCTTTCGTTGGCCGACCCGACACGTCCTTTAGGGATACCTCACTGCATGGCTGGAAACTCCCCCTCTTCACCGACAGAGGTTGGAAACTCAAAGCTGACGGTTTCCGCTGCTGATGGGTTCAGGAGGGAAGGGATGCGCCGCAGAAACTCATCATGAAGTGTTTTGGCAGGACTGCTACAATTGAGGACCCCAAAACACTCACAAGATCCTGAACTGCGAACATATATTGCCACAATAGAGGGTACTTTTCCTAAACCAGGTCCCGCATTGGCTTATGTGCTTGCTTGCGTCCACTATGTTTAGCTTGGGAATACTTAAACTGTGAAACAACTTTACTTCGATGAAAGCGACGGCTTAAATCAGGGTTAGTTGTTTTGAGTGTGTGAAGGATGTTGGTTTCTAAAAATCGTTAGATTAAGAGCTGCAACGTCACATGTTTTAAAACTTGTCGTTGTTAGTTTGACACTCATAGAAGCACTCCCCTTAGAGTTGTTTAGTGGACCCATTGTGGGGTTTCATTATGTAAAAGGAGTAGTTTTCGTATGTTGCTTTTAGGATGATTTAGAAGAGGCCCCCAAAGATAAGACCAAGGAACTGGGTGACCCTGTTAGACCCCAGGCTCTACCCACTCCTAAGGTTCAGCTGAAGAGGCCGAGTTTGGCCTCTTCGGTTGGCCTCTTCGTGGGGAAAGGGGGGGAGTTTTCTCGGGTTGCCTGTTTGATGGCTGCTACCCTCCTACCAAATAACATGGCACCTGACTGGGAGCCTCTGGCCATTGGCCCCGAGGAGGTAGGTTCAGCAAGCTGACGTTCCCTAACAACCAACCGGAAAGAGCATAAACAAGTACCGTTACCTATCATACTGATCCATACTGTACCCGACGCGGGGTCACTTGTGGCTTTTATGGGGTGATCCTCTGAACCAACACATGTTTCAAGTAGGTTGTGTCCGGGGGTTTTGTGGCTTTCGCACAAGCAGACATCCCATCTTTTGCAATTGGGGATTGCGGAAAGCAAATGCACGCAAAAAGCACATCGGATTCATCAAGGGTTGTTCTTTCCCGGCACCAAATGCAAAGAAGGCCCTTTTTTGGTTGTAAGTAGCGAGCCGACACCTTCATAAAGAGCCTCCACATGGGCTGGCTTATTGGGCTTGGGGACTTTTTTGGTTTTCTGTGTGTCTCCTCGTGTGCTCGCTTGCTTTGCATTGCATTGCATTGCATTCCATTGCTTCCTTGCTTTGCGTTCTTGCTTGCTTGCTTCCTTGCTTGCTCCCTCATGTTGGTGTGCTTGTTTGTTTGTTTGTTTGCTTGTTTGCTCGGTTCTTTGGTTCTTTGGTTGCTTGTTTTTTGTTTTTTGTTTTTTGGTCATTTCGTTTGCTCTTCTTGTTCTATTTGTGGTTGTGTTGGTTTGAGCCGGTGCAGGACGCCATTTGCGAAGCGGCCATGCTGAGCCTCCGCACGGGGGACGGCCTACACCTCAGGCGACGTCAGCATGCGTGCATGCGTGCGTGCGTGCGTGGGTGTGTGTGTGTGTGGGTGGGTGGCTGTGTGTGTGTGGGTGGGTGGGTAGGTGGGTGGGTGGGTGGGTGTGTGTGTGTGTGTGCGTGTGTGTTGTGTGTGTGTGTGCGCGTGCATTTTTTTGGGTTGTTGTTTGTTGTGGCTTTAAGTGTGTTTTTTCTTCTTCTTGTTTTTTTCTGCTGGTGTCCTTTTGAAACCACCAAATGGGTACCCTCAAAATCACAGAGATTGATTTTCCCAGAAAAAAATCGCAAGCTTGCCTCAATGATTGGCTCACAGGTAAATGGGTTGGAATTTCCCTACAAAAGCAGGGCAGGCGAATCAGCAGTTGGGTTTTGTGTCTCCATGCGCCAATGCCTTTGCTATTTGCATTGAAACATGACGCAATATTAATCAATATCAAGACACACATGTAAATATATATATATATATATATACATGTTTCATTTGTATACATTATATATATATACATACCGTATACCATATGAATAGTACAAGAACGATATGGCGTCCATCCAGGATTTGCCTGTTGCCTTTTTGGATTCCTCGCTGCGAGGGCCACCACCGGCGCGGCCGCCGCGTGCCTCGAGGCGCTGCGGGAGGCCCTGGCGCGCTGGGAGCCGAGGCTGAAGCTGGACGCGGCGACGGCTGGGGAGCTGCGGGCGCGGCTGACGGCGCCAGGAGCGATGGGGGTCGGTCTGGGTGAGGGTACCCGGGTTTTTTGGGTTTACATGAGAGAAACAAGCAGGGGAGACCGAGGGTTTGGGGGTTGGTTTTTCTTTGAGACATGGAAAGGTTGTCGGGTTGGTTTCGGGTTTGGTCTCTATTTTGACCGGAATTTCACGAGGAGCTCCCTGAAAGATGGTGGACATAAACTACTATGTGCATGTGGGGCCTTGGATTTGGTTTTGCATAAGCACGAGCCATGGATCGTTTCAAAAACGCGTTCTTTGGACACAAACTGAACGTGGCTACCAGCTGCCAAACCTATGGCTTAGCTTTTTTGCTGGCCGGTTTTTAATGTCTGGGGCCTTGAGATGCTAGAAGCGTTTTTCCGGGTTTGCAAAGAGCCCAGCTCCAAGCCAATGCGCTTGCTCAAAGGGCTTCAGTGCATTGACTTCAGATGAGCCACAATCAAAACCCGGGTAGATGAAGGTTAGTAAGGGACAATCCCAACCATAAATAGCTGCGGAATTCCGCCTTCTTATTTCTTTACATGGCTCTGGGTAGACACTTGTAATACCGGGTTTTGATGATGACTCAGATGATGCATGCGTATGCACTGTTTTCTCCCGCCTCCTGTTCTTCGAAGTGTGTTTGGGCGAAAATAGCAACGTCGCCAGAAGAGAAAGTCATGGAACTGCAGTCGCTTCGCAACCAGGATATTAATCCCGCGTCGTTTTTGTGGGATGGGCAAAATCCACTTCGTAGCGCTTTGAAACCATGGCTGAAACCATTGTTTGTTAGTATTTACAGCGGAATCATCCGAAGCCAGGGTTTCCGAAAGGTTGTGCGAAATGGATTTCGCAGCCATCCGCAGTATCTTGGTGGCTGCCAGCCATCCGGTCCTTTAGCTTGTTTGGTTTTTTAGTGTTTGGTGGTTGGTTTTCCATTTGAACCCACTAAAAGTTAGTCACTTTTAGCGGGGGCTCTGAAAACTGGCAGCCCAGGCATGAAACGTAAATGGCAGTGGGTCAAAAATGGGTACCCAAAAAAGGGGTCCTGGCAAAAGGAACCCAGGATCAAAACCTGGGGTCCCCTGGTGGTTTAATTTTCACCGGCAGCCAAATTGATCAGTTGGGGCTGAGCCTTGGCCAGGAGGCTTCTTGGTTTCGGACGCAGTGCTCTCAGATGCCTTTGCCAGCATCATGAGCCTCGACCTCGAGCCGACGGAAAAAGGTGTGGATCTTTTCCAAGGGTTAGCCAACTCATGCGACATCTCAGAATAGGAATCAGAACCCCCAACAGAGGGAATAGGGGGGGGTCGAGCAACAAGTGGGGGGGCCGGGGTTGAGAATCAGAACCCCCAGGGCGGGTTTTATTGGCACATTTGGGGATGTCTCAGAATAGGGATTCACTTATGGGTTCCCTTTAAAACCATACAAGGGGCGTTCCGTAAATGTTGGGTGCCCAGTAGCCAATAGAATTCCGGACGATTCTTGCCTTTGGATGTTTTGTTTGGCAAATGAAAGGCCTTCGAAGAGTCTACACTTTCAGCGGATCTCTTTGTTGTCAACCAAAAGTTGGGTCAACTGGCAACCGGGGTGGATGAACTTGAATGTGTTCAAAGACTTTCCAAGCAACACTTGTTGTCAAGCGTAACACTAGAGGCAATGACTCAGGTTGAACCTCTATTTGAGGTATTTTGCTCAGTGAGCAAATGGGGTGTGCCGGTTTTTGAAGTCAGCCAGGCCTTTCGGAGTGGTTTCCCTTTGAAACCGCCTTTAGGAGCAAAAACGCGAGTTTATCTCTACTGCTATTGGGTTGGATCTTTAGACTTTCACTGTTTGGATTCCCCTCGTATTTCCTTTACCTTTCAACACCTACTGTACCCGTCCAGTGGTTGGCAGAAAGCACGCCATTACCGCGCCAGGTGGCAGGTCCTAGAGGCTCTGCCGGAGGCCGCTGAGGGGTGTTCTGCGCATCCGTTTGGGGAACATTTCTGGATGCATTGCCACCCGGGTTGCTCAAATTGGTGGGGTAGATAGACGTCAAGCCAGCGATTGATTCATTTAAAAAAAAAAAAAAAAAAACTTTAAAAAAACACTTTTGGATTTGTGACCTTGGGAATCCAATGGAGCCCTCTGATCTGGGATGGCCCAACTTGCTTCCCTTCATCTGAGTGGAGCTATGGCACCCGAGCCTCGGCGCCCATCGACTCGCGCGCGCGGGCAGAATCCGAAGCCCTCTCAATGTCCGGGGGGAGAGGACCTGTCAGCGACTTTTGTCAGCAAAGGGGTTTGCATTGCGTCGACTCGGCTTCCCATGCTAAGGACTCAGGTTTCCATGTTTGGGCGTCAAAATATGCCAACAGCCACCCAAAGAGTGGCGGTTCTGCTTCTTCTTCTTCTGCTTCTTTTGCTCCTCCTCCTCCCTTCTTCTTCTTCTCCTCCTCCCTTCTTCTTCTCCTCCTCCTCCTCCCTTCTTCTTCTTCTCCTTCTGATTTCCCTTCAATCCAACCTTTAAACAGGGAACCACCTCCAAGCACCGCGGGGCTCGAGCGGCAGGCGCCTTTGGGCCTGGAGGAGCGCCGAAGGTCCAGCGGCAGATTCTCAGCGCCTCGGGCGAACGGAGCACCGGGGCGAGGAACGGAGCACCCGGGTCCTCTGACTGGTTTGGTTGGTCACTGGCATTTTTCTTTTTTGGGGGTTCGGGTTCCCCTTTCAGTGGGTGCAGTGGCTGCCCCTATTTTTGTCAACTCCTTTTTTTGGGATTCCCCTTTTCAGTGGGTTGCTTCCCTTTTTTCCTGTTTTTTTCTTTGGGGGGGGGGTTGGGGTTCCGATTCCTGAAGAAACTCGACCAACAAAAAAGGGTGCCGATCCTTGTTTTCCCCATGAAAATCCACTGGGCATCTGAGGTCCCCCAACGAAGGCTCCAAGACTGTTTGTACCTTGGGTTCCACTAAAAATTGTCCCCCCAAAAACAGGGTTCAGATTCGGTTTCTACCGGGGTCCCTTCTGCCAATTTGGGTTCCGAGCGGTTCCGCTGATTCGGGCGTAGAATGAGATCACCACGCAGGTCCTTCAGTTGTCGGACATGTTGTACAGTTTGCAGCTGGGCTGGGTCTAGGCCCTTGGAGCCAACGTGATTCAACATCACCAAGTCACCGAGCTAAGAATGTAGTCATTCAGGCAGGAAATCAGTCAGTTGTCCTGTTAGTGATTCAATTGGTCAATAAATCTGTGAATCCATCAGATCAAGCAAGCGGGAAATCAATGCAAACACAACCTCGCAAGCCAATGCGCAAACTGGCAGCAAGAGAGCAAGGGAGCCAGCAGGGAGTGGGGCAGGCAGGCAGGCAGGCAAGCGCTTGGTGGCTTGTCCCATGGCGTTGAGTGACATACTTTGTGGCAAGAGGTCCCGACATGTTTTTTTAGGACTGCTGTTTTGCTTATCCAACCTCACGCACTGGTGATGTCAAAGGCCCTGCCAAGGAGTATGATTGGTGCCTTGTCCTACGGCATCTACCATACTGAGATTGAGCATGTTCACCGTTAACACATCAGCTGTCATTCCTGCAGAAGAGTGAGCAATGCAGAGATGACTTTCAGTTTGCCCACAAGCATGTTATTTTTGTTACTGCTTCAGCACTGGGGTTACTTTATGGCCTTTTTGCGGGATGGTTGATTGCATTATCGTTTGGTGATCGATGAACAACAGGTAATTCAGCCCAATATCGCTCTTTTCCGCCTTCGATTGTTGCGAAGCGGAAAATGCCCATAGAATATGATAAAGGCCCCGGCGAATGCCCACATAATATTGTAAATCCCCCCCAAAAAAATGCCCACGGAATATTGTAAAGGCCCCGGAGAATGCCCACATAATATTGTAAACCCCCCCAAAAAAATGCCCATGGAATATTGTACAGGCCCCGGAGAATGCCCACGGAACATTGTAAAACTCCTCCAAAAATGCCCACAGAATATGATAAAAGGCCCCGGAGAATGCTCACAGAATATCATAAATGCCCTTGCAACCTCTTGGCTTTGCTCCTCTTGGCTTTTCCACCGAAACCTCGACCTGTGTCACAGGTGCATTCCCTGGAGCTCTTCGCAGGTGGGATGGGACAAGCGCTTTTGCCGGTCGACCTGGCGGATTTGCAATCCGGGCGTTCCGTTTCGAATTGGAAAAGAACAAACTCCCTGTGCAATTTTTCCCGGATTCCGTGGTTTCTCCCAGGATTTTTGTTAGGGTCTGGTCATCCCACTTGGTGCAGGACTTTGAAACATGGTCAGAGACAATGGCTTGGACAGTCGCCACCTTGCTCCATTCACTCGGTTGGGCGTTGAGGTCACGGGCAGAACATGCCCGTAGAAGCAGCTGTAACGGGGAGAGCTGGGGTTGATCCGGTGGCCCGCTGAACCATGCCTATTGCCAAGATGGCTGTGGGTCAAAGAAGGGTACGCAAAATGGATCCCTGGTAAATGAGCCAAGGACTAAAACTTGTGGTCCCCTGGAGGTTCAATTTTGACCCACACCCAGATGAGTTGTATCATATCTAGGTCCCCCAGTAGTGCCCTTTACCGTCTCTTTCTTGGGGGAGGGTTCCCCTACTAAAATAGGCTACAGAAAACAGGGTACCCTTATTCTAAACTCTCTACTGGAGGACCTAGAAATTTGAGCATATCTTTTATGACTGGTCTCAAACGGGGTTGGGGCTGGCTGGGCTGGCTGACAAGGCGATCATGGAGCAGTAGTCCCTTGCAGTCCCTTTGTGGGCGCGCACGTGTAGAGCCATTTGTGCTTCATAGGCTTCGTTCAAGCTTGAAGTTTCGAGGCATGTCTTCAGGAGGACGTATTGTTCTGAATCTAGCGAGGCTGTTTTAGCCTTGGCTTCCCTTTTCGGCAGACTGCGGATATGCAAAGGCCTTCCAACTGGTCGCGTTCCTCCTCAATCCCTTCATGACCCACAGGTTCCCTTTGGTTTCCCATGGTTTTCCCATTGTTTTCCTTTCGGTTTCCTTCAGACCCCTCTCCAAAACAATGTGCCCTTTCGTTTTGACACCTCTGGGACTCTTGGTGTCCTTTGAAAATCTCACTAACCCTCCAAAACAAATGCAATCAAAAGAATCTTTTTCGTTTCCCTGAACACCCCCTCCCCCGCTCCACCCCTGCACCCGCCCCGGCAACGAAGCTAAACAAGAAAGAACCACAAAAACAAGGACAGAATCTTAATTTCCATTACTTCCATTTGCTTAAGAATACTGTTTATTTTCCCCTGTTGGTTTGAAATGGAATCTATCACTACTGGAAATATGTTGTTTTTTTCAGGGGTCTCAACCAAATGGAAGCTTAAAACTTTGTGGCCCCCAGCCATCCCCTTAGCCTTTTAGCTTTCTAGTATTTAGTGGGGGTTGCCATTTAACCCACTCACTGTTAGCTGGTGATCTGAACACGGACAGCCCGGTTAAAACCATGGTTTCCCTTCAAAGCATCCCAAAAACCAGAAGGACTGAATCTGAGTTTCCCTTAAACCCATGAGAGAAAAGGCCAAGGGACTGAATTTGCGAATTCACAGTGACAATGTGAGCCATCCCCAACACCGGTTCGCTTTCCCTTGCTTCGACCTTCGTGGCAAGTTCCACAGTTTTCGCAGGCTCCGCCTCCATGATGACCTGTGAGCAGATGACCCCGAGGCGCCGGATCGATCGCGGCACCGGGGAGTGGGGGGGGAAGGACCTGGCGGCTGCGGCGTGTTTTTCCCAGAATGGACTCACCAAACGAATGAAACCTGGTGGTTTGCACTAAGACGATCGCCACTTTTGGAGGTAAGCCAACAAGGGAAACGGATGAAACAGGTAAATACCGAAAATCGAATGAAACCTGTAAATACATGAATACCAAAACGCCAATTTCAGGATCTGAGAATCTGAGAACCGCCAGCATCAAATTCTAGGTTGACATTAAGTCAGATGCCCAGTGGATTCCCATGGGAAAAAAGCGCGTTTTTTTTTGTTGTTGCATGGTTGAGTTTTTTCAGGACTCGGAACCCCGAAACCCAAAAAAGAAATTAGAAAAGGGGCAGAATCCACAGGGCAACAGAGATAAGTACCAACCAGGAGGTGAGGTTTCTTTGATTGGAGGGGACAGTTGCCCTCTAGTTCGCCACTGTGTCTGCCTGTGTTCATTGTACACTAGAATGCGGCTTGGATGCGGCTTTTGTGGATCCACCCCTGTAGAATATTAGAACAGTGATAAAAGAGTACTAAAAAGGGACCAGCAAGGGGAAGAACAGGTAAAATCCACAAAAACATAATGTTTAACCAGTTTCTACATACATGACGCTGAGTTAACCAGCAAGGGAGATCTTGGCCTTGGCATGTCCCGCTCTCAGCCAGCACCAGCACTGCCATGGTTTGTTTCAAAAGTTGTTTGTTGTACCCATTATGCATGAATTGGCAGGACGCCCCCGCAATTTCGCAAAACTGCTCACATTGACATCAAATGGTCCCGGAACTGAACCCTCCCAAACATGGAAGTGCACGGCCCACGATGTTTCTCCTGGAACGGGAGCCCGTGCACTTGGCTCGTCTTTCCCTTTTTTAGGCTACCCTTTTTGGGGTTGGTCCAAAGGGAAACCAAAAGGAACACCGAAATCCGGACAGACGTAGCCACTTCCATGTTCGGGGCCCGTACCTCGCAGTTTCTGCGTGAACGTGAGGCCAACCTTGGGAACCATGGACTGCACTGAGGACATGCCCGGGCCCTCGGATGTCACTCAGGCTGTGGGATTTGATGTTGTTGTTTTTTGTTTACCCCGGGAAGATGAGTCAACAAGATTGCCACGTTCTCCATACCAGGGTAGAAGGTTAAGGGTTAAAACCCCCTACCATTCTTGTGCCAGGTTTTGACTATGACTCCCTTAGTGGCCGTCAAACCCCATGTGAAAATTGTCCATGAATCCAAACAATGCAGCTGACAGCGGAAAGTCTTGATGAGCCTGTTGATTCATCGGCAGGACCAGACAGGAGGCTTGAATTCTGATATTTGGGTGGAAGACAATTCTCGTACTGTTTACCTGTTCAGGCCGGTCATTCGGAGCCTTTCCTGGAGTCTTGTTTGCACGTACGCAACATGCGTTCCACTCGGGAAGAAAGCAAAACACAAATACATTTTGGTGTTTATGTCGAACCCGGTTGGCTTTCAAATGGGTATGGGTCAAACTCGAGCCACCAGGGGACCGCAGGTTTCGGTCCATGTTTCCGTTTCCCAGGGTAAGCGGGGTACCCTCTTTTTGACCCCCAGCCATACTGTGGATGGACGGAATCCTGCACCACTCTTCCGAAACCCTGGAATGATGATTCCGCTGTAAATACCAACAAACAATAGTTTCCCATGGTTTCAAAGTGGTGCGAAGTGGATTTGGTCCATCCACAGGTCCCCTCGTGGAGATCGATCCGCAGAGCCCGACGTGTACTATCCACCTATCCACCTATCCCCCGTGAGGATTGACGCGGGAGTGGTTAGATGTGGTTTCACTCCAACGGGGGGGGGCGGCGTTTTGAAGCGCACAGAGCGCGACGCACAGCTTGATTGTGACTTGCCGTATTCACTTCTGTGAGGTTTTGTAAGTAATATTTGTCCAGTAGTTTATGGATCTATGCTCCATTTGGTAGGGACTTGGGGACTCACAAAATGTTCAATATGGGTCTGGAATTTTAGTTAGGGATCCCCCCCTCAAAATGTGGTTTGGTTTTATTATTTTTTTCCCTTGAAGACGCAAAAAGGGTAGCGTCAAAAAGAGACAGGCTCATATCATCTCTAGGGGGAAGAAGTCATTTGGCTGTGGGTCAAGAATAGGTACCCAAAATGGCACCCTGGTAAATGGAAACATTGACTAAAACCTGTGGTCCAATGCCTGATGGTTTAATTTTGACCCATACCCATTTTGCTCGACACTGGCTCTGTGCTCAGGGAAGCTCATGATGTGTGGGAGGGCCAGTCACTTGGCAGCAGTGGCCGCCTGGAACGTGTGGCCGGACGGTTTTTTGACGACTTCGCTAGCAACCCGAGGGGACCCTTTAAAAGGCAGCCCTGGAAGGGTACCCTAACTTCACTTTGGTGCATTTTGCTTGGATGTTAGGTCTTGAACTTTTTGCCAACTAACGGGTGTTCCATGAAACCACTAAAAGTAAACTTTTAGCAGGGGAGCAGAAAGCAACCGAGTTGACTCTTCTTGGATCAAGTTGTTTTTGTGTTTTGTTTTTTTGCTTCTTACTGGGGGTCGGGGGCTGCAACAAAACATGTTTTTTGCTAGCAACTGGTGCGATTTGTTGGACGCTTTCTTGCTAAGCATGGCCACCCCGCGGAGGCTTCCAGATTCAGAGCATATCAGAGCCTCAATGTGGCTGTCGCAAAGGAACAGATGCAAACGGAAGAACCGTTGACATTGAGCTTGCACCATGTGTCTCCACAGTTTACCTACTGTGGATGGACAAAATCCTGCACCACCGTTCAGAAACCCGAGAAGGATGATTCCCCTGTAAATACCAAAGACAAATGGTTTCCCATGGTTTCAGAGTGGTGCGAAGTGGATTTCGTCTATCCACAGTATGAGTCAACAAACACTTCGGATACTTAAATTTGCTGATCCGCTCGTTCGGAAACGAGCATTTGCCACTGAGCATTTGGAAAACTTGCTGGTGCGATAGGCAGGGAATGAGAAAGGGAATGACCCTTATCAACCATCCAACTGGTAGCTTCCTTTGATGGAATCCAACTGGGTTCATTCCATTTCTCATTCCCTATCGCACCAGCCAGAAAATTCCAGTTCTAGCCATTGGCCTATCGAGTTTCCAGTGAAGCCTTCTCGAGCTTTCGCCGTAAAACTTCTGGCGGCCTCTCTCTCAAACCGTTGCCTTGAAAATTTAAAAATCCAACGAACTTCTCTAGGCGCTTTTGGTTTTGGTTTTGGGGATGGGTGTCTGCTTTGAGCATGGTTGTTGTTGGGAAACATTTTACATTTTTGCTTATTGTGGTTTAGTGAGAAATCCCCACTTAACTGCTGAAATTTAAATGTTTGCTCCCCTTCCAACGTCAACCAAGTGAGGGTGCACTTTTGTTTGGGTCCCGTTGGCGGGAGGGTTTTAGACACCATTTGCAGCTCAGGGAGATCGGCCACGTGCGGACGGACAGCTACCTGGTTGCGCAGAATAGCCCCTTGGACACAAAATCGGGCTCGAAGACTTGCCCTTCTAGCTGCTACTCTAGCAAGGAACAAGAGTTGTGTGCCTTTTGCTCTTTCCCCGCATTCCGTTCTTTTGGTCACCAGCGAAAAGAAAGCCACCAGTCACGAGATTCCTTTCCTTTTTTGGTAGCCTCAAAATGTGTGTTTCTCTCTATTGGTTTGCTCGATTGGCTTGTTCTCTTTCTTTTACCTGCTGGTTTTTCACCTCGGATGAGTTATCCCTTAGTTTCACTTTGTGGACTATATATGTTGGTTCTCAACCTGGTGCTTGCTTGCGGAGTTTTACCGAGCATTACCTTGCTTGTTTTTCTGTTCGGAGTTCAACCCTTAAGTTGCCTTGCGTGGGTGTGGAAACAGCTCATATCGCTTTGACTTAGGGTTGGTAGGCATGATCTCATGAACCCCGGAGTCCCTAAGTGGGAAGTTTGGACAATGCCAATGCATCATATGATTGGAGCATGCCAGGTGTTTTTTTGACAACAACACACATTTTCCAAACTTGCCCCCCCATCACTTTCACTTGCTACTTGTTTCGGACCAGTTAACATAGCTGTTATCAGACGAGTTGTGTTAGGGTCAGTGTCGTCAAATGATCACCAACTGCAACTAGGTCCCCCAGTAGTTCCCTTTTTCCTTTTTTTTGGGGGGGGGAGGGTTCCCCTACTAAAATAGACTACAAAAATGACCCTTATTCTAACCTCTCTACTGGAGGACCGTCTCCAAAGTCCATGGCCAAGACGAACATCGCCGGGTTTCGCAAGCAACTTCTGTCTTATGAAGCTGCTTCGAGGAGCAAGATACCTGAATCTGTTGCAACTTGCCTCTGGGAAAGGAAGCCCCTGACTTCCCCAGCCGCCTCTTGCGATGCGTGGTTTAGCTTCCCACATGTCTTTGGTGTAGTGCTTTGAAAGTTATGGAGTGGTTGCCCATTTGTCCTCTACAAGAACCGTGGGTTCACATTTCTTATCCACCAATCCGAGCCACCATTTAAGGGCGTCTTGAGTTACTTTGGACACTCTCCAAAATTATATATATTTGGCGCCAAACTGGTTCATTTGCTTTGGAATGTTTGCAATCACCAGGGAAAATCAGTGGGCTTGGCAGACCCTGACCCTGGTTCATCTGCTTTGTGAATGTTTGCCTCAGGGCCAAGCTTCTCGCGCAGGCCTGGCGCCTCCCGGCTCGCAGCGCCCATCCATCATCAGGACGGGGGTCAAAACCGTTTTGGGATCCCATTTGGGGTAGGTGAATTCACCACCCATTGTACTTTTAGTGGTTGGATTGGGATGTTTATTGGGGGTACGCCGACTTTGCCTCCCGTTCGCGCGCTCGAAGTTGGGCGAAGTGTCGGAGCTTTTCTTTTGGTCGCAGGGAGCGAAGGGCAGATCTTTTGGCTTTTGCGTCGTGCGGGCGTTCGAAAAGGGCACCGCTCGTTTTGGGGGATTCTCCATTTTGAGACCAATCTAGATTTTTTAAAGAAACCTTGGGAGGCAGAAGCGCAATTAATTCAAAAATGCCTTCGAAGTTCCATGCCATTCAGCTTCCCTGCCAAAGAAGAGCAAACCTATGCGAAGCGGATGTTGCAGAACGTGTGCGTGCCGTCGAAACGCGTGCGGATCAACTCGGCGCCTCGCAGTGGCCGGCTCTGTGCGGCCAAACGATTCGAAAAGCCGTTTGGTCTTGAAGCAAGCCACATGTCGTGCCAGGTTGTTTACCCCAGGTTTTCTCTTCCAAACACGTGATGAATTTTCACCAAACCCAGGTACCCTGTTCATTCACTCATTCATTCATTCATTCATGCGCACTGCAAACGTCTGAGGTCCGCACGGGAGGCTAGCAATGGTACTAATGACCATCGGCTCATAGATTTGAGCTGCCGAAGCTTCTTGGAAGCACAATGCGTAGCTATGCAAAATACAACAATGGCTCGGAAGCCCTTAAACTAATGTGACCGGGGTCAACATTGGTTGTGACTGGAAACCTTTGATGTGATGCTCTGTGGCGGAAACCTTTGGAACCCAAAGGGTGTTTGTTGGGACCCAATATTGGATTTGAAGAATCTATTGACGAATCCCCGAACAAACCAAACCCAAAGCGGTAACTGTGGGGTACTCTAAGGATTTTTTTGGGGAACCAACCCAACACTGTGGTAATCCTCAAAAGCGAAACGGGATCAAAATTGGTTTTAACCAGAAACCTTTGATGTGTTCATGCTCCGTGGCTTCCCTTGGAACCAACCCAAAACTTTGGTCATGTTCAAGCGAAACGATTCTGGTGAGCGGCTTCTTTGTCAGGCGGCGCTCCCGCACCGCATCGACGCCGGAGGCCAGGGCGATGCAATGTGCCGTCCCGAGAAATCCACGGGGTGCTGTTCAGGATACACAGGGCTCCTTAAAAGATACATTTTGCAACCATTTGAAACATGGCTGGCTTTTTCAACACCAAAATAAAGTGGGAAACCACCATTTACAAGTTGCAATGTTCAGGTGTTTTTCATGCATCCTGATCCCTGTTACAGTTTACTGGGGTAATCAATTCGAAGCCCAGAGGGTCCCTTGGTACCTCCTGAGGTTGGCTTGGGCGTAAAAAAGGGTCTCAGTACTTCCTCAGGTACTTGGACTGTCTGGGAAGGGGTTGTTTGGAATGATAATCGGGAAACAAGGGGTTTGGCTCTAAAATTACCTGTTCTGGGATGGTGTCTAAATCGGTGTACAAAGAATCATGATATGTCAGGTCTTGCCAGTATTCCTGGGCACGCTGTTTGTGGTGACTAAACATATAACAAACAATGTCGTGTATTTTTTGATGTGGTTCTGTTTCAAGATGAAAGACGAACGACGCATGTCCGCTCATGTTGCATGGCCAACTGCCCGCTGTTAGCGTTGAGTTGACTGTCACCTCTGCAAAGCGCTGTGTCTTCCAAGGTAAGACCCACTCGGGCTAACATACTGTGAGATGGCCCCCTATAGCCAGTTGCCGCCATTTGGAACATCATTGTGGTGGCAACGTGAGGCATGGCTGCGGACAACTGGGTTGTACGTTTGCTGTTTATGATCCCGCTCTTCTTCCGTTATATGCGGCATGGGATGGCCCAATCCTCCACTAGCCACTGCCCGCCCGCAAGCTTGCGGGCGGAAGAACTCAAGCTGCGCGATGACTGTGACGTCAGCGTGCCAGACCTCTTCACTCGACTGGTTTCGCGTTTGTGGGCCCTGGGGCAAGAAGTATTGTGTTTTTGAATCAGCATGACTGGGGTCATTATTTTGACTGTTTCTGGGGGTGATCAAAGTGAGAACATGTGGTTGTTTCCTTTGAACTCACCACTTCGGGGGTGACTTTGATCATGGTAAAATAATGTGGCCAGCATGATGCTCGCGCAGTCCAGCTGATGGTAGTTTCGAGTCGATTGCCATCGTCCACGACGCATACCTGCAACTTTACGAGTAGTTGATCATGGACAAGTACTGCGAACGGCTTGGGTCACAAGGATTTGAATCATTGAACGGCCTTGGGTCGTATGCAGGAAAAATCAGGAACAGCATAGCATCATGCACTTGCAAGGTGCAGGAAGCTCTAGCCAAATTTCCAGTAGTGCGTGACGCGGGGGGGACATCGGGCTGACTCAATTTCTCACAACAAGCCAGCACTGATTTTTCCTTGTGCTTTGTGACTTTGTGGGATGACAAACCAGCGGGCTATTGCCAAGGATATCCTGCAAGCGTCCTTTAAAACTCCTCGAATCACATTCTCGCAGGCTAAGCCGTGGTCGCAGTGACGCGTTTCTCTCTTGAGTTGAGGCTTGCAAACTATTCCGGCGGAACGTGAGAAGCCAGGACCAAACTATGTAGCTCTAAATACTGAAGCTTTAGTTTGTAGGGCTCAAGCTGTTGGAAAGGCTCCACTATCACGGGCAACAGGCTGGGAGTGCAGGGATTACATCTGGCTGCGGCATTCGGCATCGAAATCTTTTCCTTTGACAGGTTGTGCCGGAAGTCGGGGGCCTCAAATGTGGACGGAATCGAGAGTTCCCGGCTGTTAGGTTCCATAGGGCGAGCTCCGGGGCCAAAACGAGCGTGATACTTAGGTGCATGTACTTGGGCATTGTTTTTGTTTGGGTCAGGATGTGAAAAGATAGTAGAATTTGCAAGTGTTGGTGGATAGGAGCGTAAATCAGGGTTGGGTAGAGGCACTGTTGAGTTGTGCACGTGGAGTCTATTGTCACGCCAGCTCTCTAGGCTGATCAGAGGTGCTTTCGCCTTTGAGATTGATCTGCATAAACATCCCCACCCCCTTCAAAATGGAATTGGGGAAGGTGGTGACTCCTGGAGTTCCATTGATACTTCCATTGCCCCTTTTGTGCGGAAGACGAGATAGCCGGAATTAGGGGGACCCCCACCGCCCTCTCCTTTAAGCTTTCAGGTAGGGGGGATGCACAAATGGCAAGCTCACTGGGAAAAATGAGTCACTGAAAGCGCGTCAAGGATTGGCGTGTCCAAAAAGTGGACATTGGCCTCCTTTTGGACAGCTGAAATGTCGATCCATGGGTTGCGTTGAAGCAAACACCAACATGAACCCAAGGAGCCAGTCCTGGGAATCCGGTATCGGGTTAGCTTGATGCACACAGTACATGTTGTAGTATAAGATGGTATACTGTATATTTGTATATGATTATGTGACACCTGTATATACAACACACACGCACGCGCACACACCCACACACCCACGCACACACACAGACAGCACGCAGAGACACGCAGAAACACGCAGAAACACAGAAGCACACAACGACAACCACACACAAACACACAAACATGCAAACACAAGCACACCGACATGCAAACACGCAAACAGACAAACATCCGCACACCCGCACAACCACACAACCATATAAAGTCACAGACACACAAACACACAAACACCCACACACCCAGACAGGCACGCACACACACACACACACTCACCAACACACAAAACACAACAAACAACACAACCAGACACACACACACACACCACTCACAGACATGCAAACACGCAAACACATCAAACATGCAGACATGCAAGCACCCAACCGCGCAAAGAGACATCAGGCAAACAGGCAAAGACCCAAACGTGCAAACATGCAAACACACAGACCCACACTTACAAGCACAAAAACACACAAACCGAAAAGCACGCAAAAACACAATCACAAACGCGCAAGCACAAAAATCGCACAAACACCAACATTGAAAACACACAAGCACACAAACAGACACCAGCACCCGGCCACAAAACCACACAACCACCCACTGGCCCACAAGCCCAAACACAAACACATGCACAAGCACACACCAAGACACACACACACAAACACAACCACACAAACACAGACACAAGCAAACACACAAACACGCACAAGCAAACAAACAAAAACAAGCAATCAAGCATGCAAGCAAGCAAGCAAACAAACAAACAAGCAAAAACACACACACACACAGACAGACACACAGACACACAGACACACAGACACACAGACACACAGACACACAGACGCACAGACGCACAGACGCACAGACGCACAGACACACAGACACACAGACACACAGACGCACAGACACACACACAGACACACAGACACACAGACACACAGACACACAGACACACACACAGACACACAGAGACACAGAGACACAGACACAGACACAGACACAGACACAGACACACACACACACACACACACACACACACACACGCACACACACACACACACACACACACACACACACACACACACACACACACACACACACACACACACACACACACACACACACACACACACACACACACACACACACACACACACACACACACACACACACACACACACACACACACACACTACATACACGCCCAATCACCCGCGCACGCGCGCGCGGTCGTGCACGCAAACACACAGCAAGTTCGCTCAGGGCGTGGTGCTGGAGGGCGCAGGTGCTCCAGTGGTCCCGGGCGGCTGGGCAGGAGTCCAGCAGTCGAGGGTTGGGCTGGGGGTTGGGGTTATATTGTCGGTTCTGGGTGTTAAGATGAAAGCAACCGAGAAACATTTGTGTTTGTTTTGGTCTACCCTGGGTGGTCGGGTGGTTTTGTTTGGATGGTCTCTTGGGGTTGGGTGTGGTTGCTCTTTGATGGTCTATTGGGGTTTACACAGGGTGATTTCTCTCTTTTTTTTGGGGGGGTGGTTTGGATGAATCACCTACAAAAAACTTTAAGCACCACCCCTTTTGGTATCCCGTGTCATCCACGTCGCCAGGAAACCTGACGGGCTCGATCCTGGTCTGACAACTTTCTCTTAGGTAGCCGGGCACTCTTTTTTGTTGGCAGGCAATCAAACAATCACTTTTGGGGCGAGTCCAGAACCCACTTTGAGACATGCCCATGTAGGCAAACGAATCCAAGGTTTCGACCTCTTTGGATACCATTTAATTAGGAGCGCAACATGAACATGTTTTCCATTCCGAGGGGTCCGTAGTTTGGACATGCATTTTACCTGGTTTGCAACTAGCCCAAAAAACCCCCCGGGGCATGCGTCCTTTCTTCCTTTCTGTGTGGTTTCGCAAACATCCACATGACATGCGGCCGAGTGCTGGACGCCTAGAAAGGCATCTGACCCCCTGATAGGGACACGTCATGTGGCTTGCTTTTCCATATCAACCGTGTAAACGAAGTCTCTGATTCAAGCACACCGTCTGGGCCTGCCTGACGATCGCCTTCTTTACCTCCGCAAACAGCTGCCAACAAGTTCGTGGCATCCCCTAAATGATCGGCTTCCTTTGGGTTCCCTTTATCGCCGATCCTCGGTGGGACTGGGTTTTGCCACACATCCGCATGCAACCGTGGGGAAGCTCACGCGGAGATATCGGAGATAGGGGCCCTGGTGGCAGCGCTCTGTGTGGGTCTCAAGAGGGTCCAAGACTGTTGTAGCCTGGTCATGTGGGTGTGTTTTTTGGAGGTTGGACCCCCCAAAGTGGATTTTTCGACTTTCCTTTTGGTTTCCCTTTAAGCCAACAAAGGGGTAGTGAGGGAGTCTAACCACGACAAGGGCAAATCGAACCACGACAAGAATAACAATCACCATGATAAGGCTTCACAGGACAAACAAAGGGGTAGCCTCAGCAAAACGACACTACCATATCAAGGGCTTGCACTAGTTGCAGTCGAAAGAGCTTTGCTCAAGTGCATGGGGCGATACGACAGATTGCGCTCATAGAACAAAACCCCCAAGTTTGTTTTTCGTTCGCCGTTGGTCTACCAATTCCGTTGGGGCTGCAACCCACCATGCTTGTTGCTGAAATGCTGAGGGGCAACCACGTGTCTTTGGCAGTCCACACCTTGTCAAATCATTCCGGGTACTTGATCCAAATGCTCACTTCCGGGGCCAGTTGCTATGAGTCCATGATCTGGACTTCTCTCACCCATGCGCACTCCATGAGTTCCTGAACTTGAAACTTTTCGGGCGGACCATTTGGGTGCTCAAAATCAACCAGGAGGGGTTACGCAGGCCGTTTGGGTGTGGCTCAAAATCAACCAGGAGGGGCAAACCGCAGGTTTTGGTCCATGTTTCCACTTACCCGGGTTCCGTTTTGGTACCAGTTTTTTGAGCCACAGCCATTTTAGTCACAAAGAGCAAGCTGGGGCTTTCTCTGGCCTTTCCACTGGTTTGCAAGAAACATCGGCCGGGACAAATCGGACGTCGAGTTGGACCGACCCCAAGCTCCGAGGTGCGGTGCTTTTGGGAAAGGAGGCCAAGCTGCCGGTGGCCCCAGCCTTTGGGAAAGCCCTCGGAACTCACTTTGCTTAGAAGGACCCAGCAGAATGGGGTAAGTCATATCTGATCCGAGAAAGATCTTGGCCTATTTTGTATGGTGCTGTTTTTTGTGGCGGGGGCGGGGGGGGGGGGCGGCCAGACCTTGAAGGAAGAAAGTCTGAACCCCTGCCTCCTTGTCTGGTAGCTTGTTGCATGAAGCACCTCCCAGGTTTCTTTCAGACTACACATAGGGGGCGTCTCATCAGGCCTACAAAAAGAGAGGCTGAGCGCATCCGTCTCCGCCCCCCACCTCCCGCCCACGAGGGCTTCTCAAGTGGCACTCGTTTGCCCGCTGAAAACAATACAACTGAGGAATCTGCGAGATTCGATTGTACATTTTGTTTGTCTCAGGTCTCCATGTGCCCTGTTTGCCCAGTCGTCCCACCATGGGAGCCTTTTGGTCCGCTCTTGGGCGTCGGTTCTTCGGGGCGCCGGTCACACCTGCCTTGTGAGGCAAAGCGATGACCAGTCGTCGGAGGTTAAGGAGGACACCCCGAGGCAGGGAGGAGCGATGGTTGCAACTGCCCTCTTCTGCTTTCTGTTTCGTGGGTGCCTAAGTGCTGCCCTTTCCCCCTTTCTTGGGGGAGGGTTCCCCTACTAAAATAGACTATGGAAAAAAGGGTGCCCTTATTCTAACCTATCTACTGGAGGACCTAGTGTGGGTTACTAAGAACTGATCCCAACAGACATCCCTTTTCCCACCAAGGCTGGGCAACTGGCATAGCTGCAAATTAATTTCTGGAACACTCAGACCCATGTGTTTACGGAAACCGTGAGTCTCTTGGCACAAGAATCCTCTTGAACTGAGTAGGTCCCCCGGCAACAGGGGAGATTTCTTCGTGTCTTCCGAAGACCGGCTCGGACATTTTGAGGCGTGCGCCTTAAAGATAGACCGCAAGGAACGTGTTTGAGCGATCCTGGCTTGGCCCTGTTTGTGTGTTTTTTCCTGTCGTAGGGAACCTTTGCTAGCGGTAAACCTGTGAAGTCCAGTTGTTTTTTTTTAGTGCTCCATGTGGGTATGGCTCACACTTTTTGAAATAGAACCACCAGGCTATGGACCGCAGGTTTTCGTCATTGTTTCCATTTTCCAGAAGCCCCCATTTCGAGGTGACCCTACTTTTGACCACCACAAGCCATGGCATATTTGACCAAGCCATGTCCCTTTTGACCACCACAAGCCACGGTCTTTTTCTCAGTCAGGTCGAGTGCGTTTCTTCCGCTTCGTGCTTGGCTCTCAGGCTGTTGGTGCTACCTTCAGTGGCCTCGCCTTTGAGAAGCACAGCCGGGCAGCACAGTCGGTCCGACCGATTGACTTCGCTGTCCTTCTGTGTGTGTGTGTGTGTGTGTGTGTGTGTGTGTGTGTGTGTGTGTGTGTGTGTGTGTGTGTGTGTGTGTGTGTGTGTGTGTGTGTGTGTGTGTGTGTGTGTGTGTGTGTGTGTGTGTGTGTGTGTGTGTGTGTGTGTGTGTGTGTGTGTGTGTGTGTGTGTGTGTGTGTGTGTGTGTGTGTGTGTTTTTTTGGGGGGGTCTGTTATTTTTTTACTGGGGGCTCCATAAGAGATACACTTTGCCCGTTTGAAACATGGTTTTTTTCCACCAAAATAAAGAGAAACCGCCATGTATTTCTGGGTCCTTTGGGCTGCGCTTAAAGGGAAGTTGAGATGTGACTGGAGTGCGCTTCCCGATCCGGGCTTACCATGTCAGTCTGCTTCGAATGTGTTTTCGCGAACGAGCTTGTGGATGATAGACAAAGAGTTGCCCAGACCTTCGCCGCAACACATGTGCTGCATGGTCACGAGATGTCACGAGCAACAAAAAGCCTTTTCAGAAAAGCCGAGCTGTTTTTCAGCCCATTTCGTGCAGCACTTCAACCACGGCATGCCTGTGACGCCGTGGCTTTCGCAAACCAAGGACGAATCGCAGTTTCGCCAGACACCTAGCAAGCCAGAGATGAGGGGACCATGTGACTGGAGCGTTGTGGCTATTTGGTTGGATCTTTGGACTTTAGCTTAAGTTGAAACTGTGGATTTTCCGACTTGGACCCAGAAAAAGTCTGTCACTTTTTGCAGAATGCGACACGTTTTTTCATGTTTTTCCTCTGGGTGTTTAAAGAAGTTTGGTATTAGCGCCATGTTTAAGCTGGGCCCAAGTGTCAGGAGTCCTGGTACTTGGGTTTAAACCAATTCCTCCATGTGAAAGTAGGCGTTTTCGAATCATCAGGACTTTGTCGATGGCAGGAATATGAGTTTTGTGAAGACGGGAACACCCTCAATTGGGAATCATCCATGTAAGTCATGTATTTAAAGGATCAACCAATTGATTTTCGTATGATTCATACCCATGAGTGCTGGGGCGAAACACGTATTCCCAGCTGCTTGCTCAGGTGGCTGCCCGTATATGTGGGCATTTTGAACGGGGCTGCCACACCTATGCGAAGATTCGGGGCGCAATCCAAGGGCTCGCCATAAGACTGCTCTCCTCAATGCTCACACACTTTGGCCTGCGAGTGTTTGGGGAATTACCTCCGGCGGCCGGTTTGCAAGAAGAACCAAAGGGACAAACCGCCCGTTTTGGTTGGGTCCCATTTTGACACATCACGGGGTCTGAACGGCATGCGGCCGTCCTAGCTCGCGCTGAGTCCCAGACAAGTCTCCTTTGTACCAGCGTCGCAGACGAAAGGCCAACACGGAGGGCAGAGAACTGGTGGGGGGGGGGGGGTTGGGGTAGAGTGAGTTGATACATGTCACATTGTCCTTGTTACTTGCGACTCAAAGTGGAAGAAACAATAGGACACGTAGATATTTATACAAGTAAGCCGACACTTGTGTCTTTTTACATTTACATGGCAGGGCCTCATTACCTCCAATCAATGGTTGGTCTCCAATTGTGGAACCCTCGTGTGCTGTGTGTTTTGTTTCAGGGAAAGCAACGGCACAGACACATGGAGGGCACACCCAATTTGGAGATGACTCATGGGCCCATGGGGGGGGAGGGAGGCGGAAGCCAGCGGGGGGGGGGGGCATATAAGCTCTTACTAAGCGCTTAATAGGGCAACTTTTTCAGGGCTTATTTGGGCTCCCTCCCCTCCAGCCCCCATGGCTGACATGTTCCACATCCGTGGCAGATGTGTTTAGATGCGCCGAGCCAAACGAGAGGTTGCTTCAGCCCTCGGTTCCACTCGCCAGTTGTTCAGTGGCCGAGCCTCAAAACCGGTCTAAAAGCCCCAAACGGGTTCCCTGGGGCCATTGGGCAACTGAATCCTTCCTGTTTTGGGAACACGGGGATCAAAGCATGAACGTTTTGGCCTGAAGCGGGTGATTTGGTAGTGACCGATCCTACCATCGAGCCATCTGCCATTCACCCAGGATGTGTGCAGACAGGTTCACCGGGAAGCCCCCTATTCATGTCAACTTTTTTGAATCTGGCAATCGGCGATCCAGGAGTTTGGGACTTTTTCCACCAAGAACCTTGCCAGGTGTGTCTTGTGGTTTTCTGCGTTTCCTAGCTCCCTGGGGTGTACCTGAAAGGTGCTGGCCTGAGGCTTTTGCAAACAAGTCTTATGTGGGTATGTTTCAAAATTGTGACTTCCTGCAAATTGTCGGGGGTACGATGGTCATAAGGGCTTGGTCAGGAAACATATTTCTGCGCGACGCTGACTGCAGAATTGCTTGAAGTGGTTTCCAGTGGTGGTGCTTCTGGAAGATGCGAGAGACAAATACTCGGACTTACTCATGTTGGATGAATGGTGCAAGCAGTCAAATGCTCAAATTCCACTGTTTATGAGTGTTGTATCTACACTGCTTTCCTTGGAATGGATACAATGCTCTTTCCAGACAGTGCAAGTAGTCACAATTTATCATGCTTATCATGCTCATAGTTGCGAACAGCGGTGTAAGGGGGTCGCAAAGGTAAGCTTGAAAGGGAAACCTAGAGGAAAACACCTTTGTTTGGTAAGGTTGAAAGGGACACCTCTAGAGGAAAACACAATTAGTTGGTAGGTTGAACGGGAAACCTAGGGGAAAAGCACACTTTTGTTCGGGGTCCCCCAATGTTGCCACATACCTGACGCGTCCAAATGCCAGCTTCAGAAGTGCACCAGCTTTCGGCTCGCCAGGGGATCTGCAGCGAGGACTCCATTGCGAATCTCTCCACGTCTGACGGCAGCAACTGACTGCCTGGCTTCCCTCATCGAGGGAGTCCCTCATCGAGGGAGTCCCTCTATGGCTAGGTCCCCCAGTAGTGCCCTTTTGCCCTTTTTTGCGGGAGGGTTCCCCTACTAAAATAGACTACAGAAAAAAGGTACCCTTATTCTAACCTCTCTACTGGAGGACCTAGTATAGCTGATTATGTGCCATGGCTGGAGGACAGACAGAGCCACGGAAAACAACACTGGGACCCTCTTCCATCTCTTCCTGATATTATGTCAGGTTCGGAACCGCCGAATCTATTTCTTTGAGAATCCTGTGGGTCTTGAAAGTTCTCCTTCCACTCGCTGCGCGAAGCGCAGAGGGTAGCTCGGAGTCCGGTTCCGGCCATTGGTTCTGCGCACCGCCCGATGTTTTGCCGTGTGCTATTCGCGGTCTTTCTTAAACATGCAAGATGCTCGTGTCTGTCTGTGTGTGTGTCGGTCAGAGCAAGGGGGCCTGTGCTCGTGGTTTACTTGTGCTGCTGTTCCTATTTCAGACTGACCAACATGATTTCCCACGTGGAGGACCATCTTGAGACGAGCTGGTTTTGGGAATGGATTCCCTTCAAGGGGATGGTTGCAGGGGTCATTATTTCATTCCCTGCTGAGAACCAGAGTTGTTTTGCGTTTTTGCGGATCTCGGCACTTCCATGCATATCGAATACGCTCTTGTTTTGCTCTTCCGTGTTGGCATTACTCGAAAATGGCCAATCACACTTGCATATCGCTTCGGACATGGCATGTGAGTTGTCTGATGAACAATGGCTCCGCAATGGACCCAACGCCAACATATTCAGTCACTGCACATCAAGCATCCAGCGTCTGGTAACTATGCTTCTTCCCAACGACATCTACTCACATGGAGTCTCTGATGTGCAGTTGCCAAGTTGCTGCTTGGATGCGTGGATGCCTGCGGCCTGTTGTGTGTGCGTTGTCAAACTAGGACAAGGCAGGGCCCATCAACGTTTCCAGGTTTCGCCTACAGCAACGCGAGATTCCCGGGTCGCCATTTTTTTTATCGGCGCAAGACTGCCTGCTCCTTGGTTTCAGGACTTGGGCACTTCCGGACATATCTTTACCAGGCGACGGGATTTTATCCGTTTACTCCATATGTGGTTGTCAAAACTAATGGGATCCCATTTTGGTTGGTAGGTGAATTCACCACCCATTTTAGGTTACCTATTTTAGTGGTTGGATTGGGATGTTTACTGGGGGTACGATTTGGCTTTTGACCCATGTCCATATGAATCAACCCCAGTTTATTAATTAATAGGGGGGTGCTTCTTCCTGGGTTAAATGTGGGGATTCGAACCACGCTTGGAAGGGCCCTCTCTTGATTTTCCTGGGGTTGATGAATCCGGGGTCAGCATTACTTAGTCTACTGGGTCTCGGTTAGATTCCGAGGGTGTTACTCTTCCTTGCACAAAGCTAAGCAAAGCGCCCAAGGCAATGGCTGGACAGTCGGATTGTAGCGCTAACGCTGTGCATGCTCTCTGGAGGTGGTGCCTGTAGTTAGCATCGCCCGGAATTCGGAGTTTGGGGATTCCCACCGAAACTGATTGAACCCACACCCACCCTTTTGACCTGGAAAACAAGTCGATGGGAACTTGTGGTGAACTTGAGACATCGTTGAGGAGTCCCTTGATGCACCTCGAGGTGGTAGGAAATCCCGCTTTAGATTGCTCCGGCTGGCGAGTCGGAGGGGCCTGGAGCTCGCTCACATGCGAGCCATAGTTTTGCAGTCGCCTTGACCACGTGCTGCTTGGGATGCAATTGGTTTTATTCATTTGATTGCTTTATGTCACTGCTTGATGTGTAAGACAACTCACAACACTGGAACTTGCGTCAATTCGACTGCCCCCTCCTGTGAAGACAGGACAGTTTTGGCGCTGGCCGGCTTGAGCCTTAGGCGCGGGAATTCGAATTCGCTTGGCGTCCAAGACTTACATTCCTCCTCCGCGAGTGGGGGTGCACCATTTTTGAGCTTGGAAGGCCATTGTGCAGTTCGCGCGCGCGCGCGCGAAATCTGCGTTTTTCAGCTGGCGAAAGGCTTCCGTATGCTTCCGTCTTCGCGGCACAAGCGCTCTGCAGAACCCACCAAATCCTTAGTAAATCCAACCCAGTTGCCAAGACTTCGTAAACTGCAGAGAGGAGCCCAGATTGCAAGCGGCACATGGCCTAAACGTCTTGCGCAGAAAGACTCTAGGCGCTCTCACTCGGCATGGTCGACGTATTTTTCCCCGGCTCAGAGAATAACCACAGGCGTTGGCATTCCGGTTGCCACCCTTGTTCTTTTTTTTGGGAAGAAGGGAAGCGTGTCCCAAAAAAATCATCTAGCAGGAAGTGAATAAGATCCTGAATCTTGTATTTTTATTTGGCACAGCTTTTGACATGGCATATTGGCATAAGAACCACCTAATTCACGCACTACATTTAAAGGAGCTAGTATTCCACAGTCTTCTTATGCCATGCATTATGTGGATGTGAGAAAGAAGAGAACCCGGAGGTAGTTTGAAGAAGATACTTTTTTTTAGGGAAAGTGGTTCCCTTCAAATAATCTAACATAATTCGGGCGCCCTCTTTTTCCATGGCCTCTGAGGGCTTCTGATGGCTAGAAGTGTGGCCCTACGTGTTTCCGCATCTTGCTGCGAGTTGCTAACGGGTTCTCCTGAAATGTCGTCCTTCGGAAGAAGGGCATTCTTGAAGCCCTAGGTGTCCTTGTTGGTTGTTTTGATAGAACAAATAGATGGCCCTGGTTTACTGGTGGTTTAATCATTTACCAGGGCCATCTATTTGCCCTAAAAGGACACCTATGCTTGAAACGTCAGCGCGGCAGAAGCTGCAGGTCACCCATAGGAGATGTTTCGAGAGCGGGCGAATCCTTTTTTTTCCCCGGACGGATCGGCTTAAACGCAAACGGCCTCGACCTGGGCGTGGCTTGAAATCGGAAAAACCATGGGAGCTCAAAGCATAGGGCGGTTTCCTTTTGGTGTCCCTTTAAGTGAACCAGGATCTCAGAAAACGCCACACACACAACACACCACACGCGCACATGACCCTTGGTTTCGGATCCCGGAATGCCGACACCCCGCGTTCATGGCCATCCAAGCTTCAGCAAGGTCTCCTGTCTCCTCAAAAAGGGTTGGGGGGCGAGAACCAAATGGGCGTGGCTCAAAATTAAACAGGGGGGGCAAACCGCAGGTGTTGGTCCATGTTTCGGATTGTCAGGGTTCCGTTTTGGTACCGGATTTGTTTCTAGCCACAGCCAAATGAGCCATTTAGTTCGCAATATGGTTCGTTGCTGCGCTGGTTTCGGTGGATTCCCTGCAGGCAGGATACCACCGTGCTGAGCGAGGCAAAAAGGGTCCCTTTTATGTGGTTTGCCTCTAGGCATTGGTTGCGAAGCAGGTTCCGTCACTGGAGGTGTTATTTTGAGTTTTGATACCCCGTTTTTGGACTACGCTAGAACTGAGAAGGAAGCAACCTGGCAGCGGGGTCGTTCCAGCTGAGGTGTTGCTTCATTCTGCAGATGCGCGCGTCTCAGATCTGATCTGGGCTTTTTTGTGGTTTGAGCTTGCCCTTGGGGGGGTTTCAAGCAGAAACCCGAACCCAGAGCGTCCTAAGTACCCCATAGTTACGGAATTGGGTTTGGTTCAAGGGGATTCGTCAATTAGAGATTCCTGAAATCCTCAAATATGAGGTCCTTGGACCCTCTGGGTAAGGAAACAACAACCATTTTGACATTTCCCGGCTCGATTCTGAGACAAGGTCTCAGAAGGCCCGCAGTCTCGAACTTTCCGCACAGGTTGGACAATGAAACTGAGCAGACCTTGACCAACTTTTTCCCCCTTCTTTGGTTACGAGATACAGATACTATTCATTGGTCTTCCACCACTGACCACCAAGCGTCATTTCGTCATTGCCTTTTTGTGCAGACCATTTGTTTGGTGCTTACAATCCCAAAACACCCTTTAGCCAGCTTTCCCCCCCTTTTGGGCGTCCACAGGCCCCTTCCCGTTGGCCTTTTTCAGTTTCTGTGGTTTTCGTGCTTGGTACCCTTGACATATGTCTGGCGTAGGGAGTTTCTGGACTTTGGTCACTTTTTGGGAAGACCATCTTGGTCTCAGTTGTTCAAGCCCGACCCTTGTTTGGCCAATCCACTCAGGAAGTGAGTGAGTTTGCGGAATTGGAGTTCGGCCAAATGAGCTTGTTTCCGGATAAACCCTTGTTGGACCATGGGTGACTTCCCAGATCGCGACGCAGCCCTGAGGGTCAGCATGCCATGGGCGATTTCCCCAGGGCGCGCGACACAACCTGCCAAGTTTGATGACCATGGCCCCTGGGTTAGCCATGGATTGCGGCAAATTCTTGCAGATCCTGACCCATGCGGTGGCACCATGTATTCCTCCTGGCAAGTCTCAAACGCGAATCCATACACAGGATGGACGTATGGGGGTATGTGTGTGTGTGTCAACATAGGGGAGCTACACTTGCAGACCTCCAATTATCTCTAAGGATCCCTTTCGAGTCAGCACGGTGACGCCACGTCCCACGCGCTGAGGTATCGAATCCCACCCGGGCGCTGCCCGTGGCACTCTTCTGGTCAAGGCCGCACGGGATCGATCGGAGTCTCCATGACCCTTTAAAAATGGTTGGTCATTACCCAAAAGAAAGGGGTCATAACCCGATTTTTCAAGGGTCATGGAGGCAGGTTTGAAAGCAAGGGACATTGCAACTACCCTCACTCTCACGAACATTGACGAGGATAATGATCTTCCAGGTACCCCACAGGTGCTATGTTAGTGGAAGTGAGGGTAAACAATGTTTTTTTTTTTTTTACATTATACGTGCATAGTGGAACGGCCAGATCCCCTGGCCGCGTTGAGGGTTATTTGTGTGTCTAAGTCTGCCCAGGTTGCTTTGGCTAACCCAACATGGGTATGCACCCCGTAGATCATGACCAACGGCTCCCCGAACATACCATAAACAAACAACATGTTCTTTCGCCGAGCCAAGCGCCATGTTCATCTAGAGTCATCTTTCATAGCCAACCGCCATAGCCAGTTAGTGCCCAGAGAGTTGCCTGGCTCTTGAGTGGTGAGCTTGAGGCACGTGACTAGGAGGCATTCATCTAGAGTCACAGACTCCACAATGGGATCCCATTTTGGTTGGTAGGTGAATTCACCACCTATTTTAGGTTACCTATTTTAGTGATTGGATTGGGATGTTCACTGGGTGTACGATTTGGATTTTGACCCACACCAAACCTGCCCCCCGAATTGCCTGGCTGAGTGGTGAGCTTGAGGCACGTGACTGTCGGAGGCATTCATTTAGAGCTATAGATTTTGTATTTCGCTGATTTTCGCCGAACCCCGCGCCCCAAATCGCCCCTTTGGGGCGCCAAATCGGCACTGGAGGCGAGTGCTGCTGGAGTTCTGGGCGCAGGGGGACCAGGAGAAGAGCCTCGGCCTAGAGGCGCGGAGCGCGGAGCGCGGAGCGCGGAGCGCTCGGCGCGGTCCCTGCCTCTGGGAGTTTTTGTTTGTGAGTCGATGTCTTCCATTTGGTTAAGAATATGGTTTTAATTCTTAAGAATATTTGGAGGGAGTTTTGTGAGTTTTAAGAAAAAAATGTTTTTCCCCTTGTTGGCTTTAAAGGAAACCTATCACTACTGGACATATTTGTCCCAGGGGACTTGAGCGAATGGAGGATCTATGGCACGCGCTTTTTTGGGCTGGGCTTAAAACCCAGAGGCTCCCTTGGCTTTTTTTTTTGTTTCTGAGGATGGCTGTTGGACTTTGGGGGGGTAAACAGGGGTCGTTCAGTACCTCCTTTGGAGGTACTTGGAGCCCCTGGGAAGGGGAAAATCTGACCTTTACAGGGGCTTGTCTTTGGTTTCGTCTTTCTGCGAACAGGTTGAAAGGGAAGCTTGATTTCGTTTGCGAAGGATGGCCTTTTTCGGATGGTGCTAAAGGGAAACCAGAAGGAATCCATACATTTTACCAGTCTTTTTTGTTCAGAAGATAGTTGTAAAGGGCAAGCCAAAAGGACACCACGCCTTTTACGGGCTTTCCGAGCCATGTCTTTTTTTGGAAGCTCCAAAAGTGAATCATGGAAACGACTAGTAAATTGATCAACCTTTGATTTGGGGAAAGCCAGTGACCCTGTTTTAGGGGTACCCCGGTTTTGAGACAAACCCATACTCACTTCCTGATCCATGAGTCTTTTGGGTTTTCCGAAACATTATCCCATTCGACCGACTAAGAGTTGTAGAACTGTTTGCAGCGGGTCAGTTCTGTTTGGCCCAGGATCTTCATACCTTTTGGAATGACCACTCTAGTGCACAAACAGGTTCGGACTTTCTTTTGGCCCATCCACTTAAGTGAGAATAGTTGTTTTGGATACTGTGGACCAGAATCTTATCAAAGGACACGGACAAACGGTCCAAGAAACAATTGGTTCCGCTGGTTTGCACCGAAGGACAATGAATGCGCTGGGCCTTGGGAAACCATGCGGAATTTGTGCAACTCTCCAGTGAGATTCGCAGCAATCCACGGCGCAGACAAGATTTCACACGAAAAGATGCAGAGCTTTTTGGAAGCTCCAAAAGTGACGATCGTTTCAAGGAAGCCACTTGTAAATTGATCATCTTTTAATTGGGGGACTCCAGTGACCCCTGAGATGGTTGCCAACCTGAAACCCAGTTTAATTTAGCAGGCCGATCTGCCAAGAATCCGAGGTTTTTCCGGCTGACTTCTTGGCGCCGAGTGTTTCTGGACTTACTTTGGAAGAGCAGTTTGGCGGCAAACAAACCCAGAGGTTCCCTTGGTACCTTCTAAGGAGGTACTGAACGACCCCTTTTTACCCAAAGCCAGCCTCAGGAGGTACCAAGGGATTTCTGGGAAAAGACTTTTAGGTTGTGTTTCTTTGGCCATTTGGGGGAGCAACAACAGGTTTTTGGGGCTTTTTCTTCTTTGGCCAATCCCTCAGCAAATCGGAGCGCGACTTTTGGTTTCGAAAGAGCGGCTTGCGCTTTGGCCAGCTTCAGGTCCTCAGCCTGTGGCTGTGGCGAATTCAAAACGCGGAATTCCAAAATGGGTGGCCATTTCGATCGGGAAGTGGAAACATGGGTACCAAAACCTGCGGAAACCCCCCCGGTTTAATTTTGAGCCACGCCCAAGTATAGTGGTTCTTATGCTCCCCAAGGCTTATCTGATGTGTATGGCGTGAGGCGAGGTTCATTGATGAGCTGGTTGTGGTTGACGCAGTCCTCTAGTGGTGCCCGCATCTTGTAAGCGGCCCGACGGAACAAAACTGTATTACAAAGTTCTATTCCAGGGACCTCCATCTTATTGTAGATCCCGCTGGTTGGATATGGGTGAACCATGAGGCGAAACTTGGGTTCCGCTCTCGGTCCCTCGGAAAGACATGACACGCCAACCCACACGCAACCATCTACTAGGTTACAGCTGAAATCCCCGGCGCAATTCTGTTGGGCACAACGCTCGGACAGCAAATTACACACGGGCGCGAGGCGTTAGTTGATAATTATTCTGCATCACGCTATCAAGCCCCAGCCTGAGACGCACGCCAGGTCTCCCCCTTGTGCGACCGTGCCAGCGGTATGACCTCAGTGCCGCAGGCAAGCTCGCGCGTTCCGAGAACAATGCTGCGTCCTTTTTTGTCCACCCATGTGGGGATGGATCCAGTGTTTGAATATGTTATCAACGCATTTCAGGCAAGATGATGCCCATCAAAAACAATACAACATGAAAAGAGGGCCTTTGTTTGGCTTGTTCTTAGAGAGTGTCGGAGTGACCTTTTTCCAATCAATCTGTTGGGCTTGGAGTTTCATGGTTGTTTTTTTCAACAGCAGCGGGACCCTCCAGAAAAAAATCCCTTCGGGACACTCCATATTCCTTGAGAAAACCATTCCATAGATCGTTCAGTTTGGTTGAACATCGGTTGGTTTTGCTGGTTCAGCTCATCTCTAACCCTATGCCCATTCATCGTTTAAGGACGGCTAGGGCCGCTGGGTGCCAATCAGCATGGCTATTTTGTTAAGTTCATCCTCAGACAGGTGAATCATATGGATGAGAAGGTGTGTGGCCATCGTGGCAATGGAGGGTTGAAAGGTTGAAAGATTGAGGGTTTGCCCTCCCCCCCCGCCCCCGTACTTTGGGCTTGGTTCAAGGGGAGATTCCTCAAAGTCCTCAAAATGTGTGCGGCTCCAAATTTTCAAGAGCTGGGCTTGCGCAGGTTTTGGCCTTTGTTTCCATGCAAGGGGCCCCCAGAAATCGGTGCCACTTTCTTGAGCCACATCCAAATGTGAGAAGTACCAAGGCAGCCTCTGGGATTGCACTGAGGTCTTTCAGTTGGGAGCTGCACCCATGGGTGGTTCTGTATGTTCTATGATTTCCTCCATGACCCTTTAACACTGGGGGGCCAGTACCCCCCCAAAAAAAGGCTCATAACCCCATGGTTGATGGGTCAATGGAGACTCTAGGAGGTGCCAAGAGCATCGATTTGCTCCAGGGCCAGCTGGGCTTTATCGGCTTCATCGTGCGCCCACTCTACCAGCAGCTCAGCCTCTTGCTGCCGGAGGCGGGGGGAGACCCAAAGACGAGAGACCCAAAAAGACAAGGCAAGGGGCCGAAGGCTTTGGCTCCACGCCAACTCGCGGTTTCCCAAGAATCGCCTCGACGGGAGACGAACAAGGCGAGTAGCTCACTTGGCGGCTCGACCTGATCTGACCTTTTCATGGCCCCGCTATAAAGCGCGTCCGTTTTGGTGGGGGCCCCCACAAGGCTAGGCTTTCATTCTTTTGCGCAACTGAGCACTGGACAAGTTGCAGCCGCCGTGGATGCTGGTGCTGCTGCTGCGTTATAGTTGGGCGGTCACTTTTGTTTCTGCCAATGTTGGTTTTTCTATGGCAAGGGGTGCTTCAATGTTGGTTCTGCAGCGATTGCTTATTTCAGATCAGTTGCGGAAGCATGATTGTAGAGAGGCTAAGGGATTGCCCTTGAATTCGGCTACGATGTGGCGCTTGCGTGTTTTTATCATTTACTCATTTGCCCACACCGACTCATTATGCTTTTGTGTTTACAGATTTGATCTTTTTTAAGGCAAGGTGTCAAAAAAGGTTAACCCGCTGCCATTTCCGTGTCCTTTCGGCATGTGAGTTGTGTTTGTTTGTTTGTTTTTTGTTGGCTGGAACACGTCGAGACAAGCTCACACTGGGTGTATGCTAGGCGTGAACATCTCCAAGCAGCTGAGGCACTAAGCCTCCGTCGCAAAATTTGTGGATCACAAATGTTGCCCTTTCGGGTGATGTTCAGTTACACGCGAAGTGGCGAAGTCCAGTCCCTGCGCCTTCAAAACAGGTCCCCGATAAAGATAAGTGACTACCGACAAAACAGGCATACCCACATTCGACAACTTGACAATAGGGAAACAACCAAAGGCAACCCAGGAAAGGTTCTTAGAAGGATTCTTCGGTGGATTCTAAGCACTGGGAACCGGGGGGACAGTTTTCCCTTTGCAGCTGCAGGCCAAGCAATGCCTCGAGAACCTCAAGCAGCTCGAGGAATACTGGCAGAAGAAGAAGGAGGACAGGAACCTCGCCACCCGCGAGACCCCCATGCCCCCCCCCAACGCAAAGCGGGGCTTTGTTCGAGGCGGAGACCAACGCGATGGCAGTGTCCGCGGAATATGTTTGATTTTCATTTTGACTGTCTCGTTGGAAGCAAGGAAGCAGGTAGGCAAGCAGGCAGGCAAGCCGGCAAAGCAGGTCGAGGCAAGCACAGCAAGCCAGCCAGACAAGCCCATCCTAGACCAGCCCTATATACATATATGCAAAGCACACCCTTTGCCAACCCAGAAGCATTTTTACGTCATGAAACTCTACTCTACATTGACTCCACGCTAAACCCACCCCTCAACCGAACCTTCAGTAAAATGCATCAGCTCGGTCCAAATCCGCCTGAAACCAGTCCGAAAGCCCCACGCTCCAGCTAGCGGCACTTGGCTCACCTCAAGTGAACCCCGACACTCTGTTGCCCAGTGGGTTGCTTTGTTTTGTCATTTGGATATGGGTAAAATTTAAACCACTAGGGGATTGCAGGTTTTAGTGTATTTATTCATTTGTCAGGGTTTCATTTTGGGTACATATTTTTGACCCACAGCCATTTTTTTTGTTAAGTAAAAGTTCCAATTCCTTTCAACTCAACCAACCAAAAAATGGGTGCCCCAACAGGGCATCTGGCTCCCAGGTCTTTCCTTCTGGGCTTTCAGGGTGCTGCGGTTCCTCTGGAGCGTGGCACGTCCCTCTCTCTGTGCCCCGCCTTTGTGAGTGCGTGGCCCTTGGCCTTGCTGTGGTCCGTCAGTGTTCCGGGTCGAAGCCTTGCTCTCTCCCGGTTGGCAGTAAACTGCTGCCCGAGCATGCCACGTCTCAGGAGCGCCGGCTTATGTCTGAGTTTGTCCATGCCTTCGGTTTGGCGGACTTTGCTGATGTCCCTGCCTTGGATCCCCCAGCTTGGCCCCCTGGTTGCTTTTTGTCCGGTCAGCCTGAGCCTCCGCTCCTTCCGTCGTACTGGCCTTCTTGTGTGGGTCCCTGCGTTTGGTCAGCCCTCCCTCGGCCCTTGACTTTACACTCCTCTCAGCCGGCTGGCCTTGTGAGGTGTTGCTCCCCTGACCCAGATCCCAGGCGCCCGTGACAGCGCCCCCTCGGCTCCCTCTCAGCCCTCCAAGCCCTCCCGCCAGTATCAAACCCGGCTGAGGCGGCCCACCCCGCGGCGCGCAGCCTTTGGCCGAGTGAACGATGTCTTGCCAGCAAGACGTCCTTTAGAACCAGCTCCAAGATTGCGAGCAAGCTGGGCCGAGAGAGAACTGGGTGCCGACCTTGTCAGGGACTTCCTGCTTCTCAAGCCCCCAGAGCCGGGCCTCAAGGGCCTCAAGAGCCTCAGCGCGAGTGTGTCCAGGATCCCGTTTCTAAACAAAGGGTGTAACAAAGTCAAAAGGAAGTGTGCTCTTCAAACAGTTACAGGCAACAGCAGGAAAGGGCAGCAGGGGGGTGAGTCCATGTTCCCTGCTTCTCTGCGCGGTGGTACAGTGTGTCTCTTGGCCTGTTCCGCATCGCTCTTTCAGTTCTACCTTGGGTTCCCCCGGAGAGGCCCCTGCATTGTGACCTCTCACAATGTTTTGATGTTTCCGATCTCCATTTTGTGCAGGCCGCGTATCCTGTGAGAATCTCAGCATGGTTCCTTTTCGGGTTGGTGAATACGGCCACCAGCTGGTCCCGGGGCCTTTGCTCCCTATCTCCACTGCTGTGGGGTGTGGAGTGGGGGGGCCTTGCGGCCATTGCTTGGCTGCGTTGCACAGGATTTCCCCGCAGCCTCTGATGCTGCGGGCTGCTGCACCCTTCTTCTGGCCTCTGGCCGGAAGCCCATGCCCTTGGGTCACCTACGGTTCGCTACGCCTGGCCATCAACTTCTATGGCATTTCAGGCGCCTCCTCGGATGACTTGGTTTTTGCGCAGAACCAGTCCTACCTTGAGGATATCTTTGTTTTCGCTGCCCAGTTTGCGCTGGAGGTCCCGGTCCTGATTGCTGGAGATTTCCAGGCCCACCCTATGTCCCCCTCTCTTTGCCCCACCTTTACCAGCAAAGCCGCCGGCTTAGCCTCCTCCTTGCCCGCCGTGCAGTGGTGGGCACCCTTCTCCTTGTCTGCTGCCAGCTGCATATCCTTTTTTGCGAGCAAGCTTCTGATGGGGCGGCGCGCCCCCTGCACCTGCGCGTCTGAGCGGTGACGTGCTTGGGACAAAAGGGTGCCCTTTCTTCTCCATGGCCACTGGGCATCTGAGGACATATAGGCCTTCAAGCCTAAGTCTTCCTAATAATTTCCAAAATCCCTGAAACGATCCCTAAGCCAAGGCCTGCACTCAACCAAAGCCCGGCCTCAACCCAAAACCAACCACACGCACCGCTCAAGGTGCATACAGCTCAACAGCTCCGGGATGGCAAAGAACTTTTTACCTAGTGTGTCCAGTAGAAACCTACTCTACGACTTTTTTTGTTTTCCTAGCATAGTAACCTTTCTCCAAAATGAACGGACCAGCCAATTTGGTCCTGAAACCGGGACCTTCCATCAGATAGGAGCGGCAATGGCACAGAAAAAATCGGTACTATTAGCCAAGTTGGCTGTTTTGTTCAGTCACTGTTGCTGGTTTGTGTGGTAAAGTGCATGGGGGAGAAAAAAGAGCAGCAACTGGCGATCCAGGTACTATGATAGCCAGGAGTTCACTTCCCACGATGGCCATTTCCGTGTGTAAAACCCCCGGAGACTGGCTTTCACGAGGCTCGTGTGCGCCATAGGAATGATGCGAGGGAGACGAACTAACTTGGGGGAGAGTCCCAGCTGGGAATTTTTGGGGTGCGGCCGTCCTTTGGATTATTTCCACAGGTTGTGGCCGAACCATGTTACGTCCAAGCCTGGATTGTGACTCACACGAGGCGTGAGCTATCGCTTTGGGGGTCTTTGGGTTATGAGGTCCCTGATCAGCCCGACGAGATTCATTGAACTGCCCCAACTTGATGTAGGGGCATGGATCCCTCCAGCCCAGACAAATGCAAGAAGTTGGTTGGCGATAAGTTTTGAAACAATCTGTGTTGGATAAGTTGTACTCTAAATCCCGACATGAGTGGAGTAGTTTGAGCAGTTGGCAGCCAGAAGTGCCTGTGAAGCTGCGTTGAGACACTGGTTTTGGTCAGCTTTGACTACCATGAACATTTGAGCAGCAAACTCGCAGGCGAATCTGGATGAGCTTCTCACTTGTCCAAAGCAGAACATTTGTTCCCAGGCTTGCTTCATGGCAAGTCGTCTCAAGGGATTTTCCCCGGTGACGGTGAGGTCTGGGGCTCTTGGGGATTCCTCTCAAACTTCCGTAGGGGGACCTCCCAAAAAGGATGGCTGGGTTTGCTTTTGGTTCCCAAGCAAAAGTGGATATATACCCTGAAGCAAGAATGACACCCTCAATAATTCCTTCAATTGCTTTGTATGTTGCCCAGAGGGTCCTAAGTACCCCACAGCTGCAGCTTTGGGTTTGGTTCGTTCGGGGATTCGTGAATTACAGATTCTTCAACTCCTCAAATCCCAGAGGCTCCCTTGGTACCTGAGGATGGCTAAAACGGGGGGTTTAGAAAGGGGGTCGTTCAGTACCTCGTTAGAAGGGTATACTCACTTCCTGAGTTCATGATCTTTAAACTTTTTGGGCAGACCATTTTAGTGGCAAACAAACAGTTTGGACTTTGTTTGGGGCCATCCACTCAGCCAGTGAGGTATAAGGAGGTACTTGGACCCTCTGGGAATATGAGATCCCAAAAAAAACCCTCCGGGTTGTCTTCCTTGGCGCCTGATGCATCCGGATAGGAAAGCGCCAGCTTCCAGCAGTCCTTCGCCGTTGGATTCCCAGTGCCCGTTTGGTTTGGAAGGACTCCGAAGCAACGAACACGTGTCTGTTTTTTCCCAGGTTTTGATTCCCACTAGATGTTTTGACATGTGTTGGATGTTTTGACATGGTTTTGATTGCCCATGTTTGGCATCTGAGAATTGACTTAGCGCCGCAAAGTGATAAAACAAAAACAACTCACACCCTTTGGGGTGGGTTCAAAACAGGAGAACCAACATGCAAATTCCTCGGAACACCCACGTCCAAGCCGCAGAGGTGTCAGGATGACGCCTTGGTTTCCCAATCCTCGTGGCTCTTGGAGGATGTTTCAAAGCCATGGGAAGGGCGTCCAAGATTCCTTTAAAACATTTGGCTGTGGCTCAAAAAACCGGAATTCCACAATGGCTTGCCGTGGTAAGTGGAAACATGGGTACCAAAACCTGCGGTTTGCCCCTCCTATTTAATTTTGAGCCACACCCATTTACCTCCTGTTTCATGCCATGATGCCGTTGACTCTTTGAGCTCTTTGGCCACGCCCTGAGGAGGGTTAGATAACCCTGGAGCACCTAATTACAGAAATCAGGGAGGCCGCAGCCGTAGAGAGTTTTGAACATGGCACCACTTTTCTCCGAACCTCAAACAATGAGCAAACCACGAGGGGAGCAAATTGGTATTGGGACCTCTTGGTTTTCTTCTTGCAGGGACCAAAGATTTACCCACAGGCCTCCTTGGGACCTCATATTTGAGGATTTGAAGAATCTGTAACTGACGAATCCCCCGAACGAACCAAACCCAAAGCCGTAACTATGGGGTACTTAGGACCCTCTGGGCTTGAGCAATCCTGTACACTCCAAGCCGTTTTCGCTTTTCGTGTTCCTTAGATCCTGGACGACTGACTTCGCGCTCAGCTCGGGGCTCGGGCGCGCTTGCGGCTTTGCGGCTTGGCGGCTTGCAAGGCGGGCGCGACCGGTGGGCTGTACAGGCCGAGGTTCGGTGCAGAATTCGGGCGGCTCAGAATTCGCTTTCGGACGCTTCCAGATGGCTCCCATATCCCTGAAACAGAATATGGCGCCATTGGTCAATTCCTATATTATCCAATCGTCGTGCAAGTTAGTTTGTTGGGTCCGAGTTGTGGAAGTGTTGCATGTGCTACGTCATGATCAAAGGGCAATCATGAGTGATTCGTGGTTCCCCTTGTACTAAGAGTTTCGGAGAAGACTGTATTCAAATCGTTGAGGTGAGGATGCTGATCGCAGTACACCCGCCGAACGCTTGGCCTGGCAAATTCATACATGATGGGAATGTGTTAAACTAGGGGGACTTCGGTCTCTCTTTACAGAACAGGGGCACACTCCCATATGGGTATGGGTCATACTAAACCCACCAAAAAACCGCAGATTTTAGTCTTCGGCTCCATTTCTCAGGGTGCCATTTTGGGGTTACCGCATTTTTGGCCCAGAGCCAGATCGCTTTTTTCTCCAATTGGCCTCCCAGTCCTTCATGTCCAGTGCGTTTTTTTTTTTTTTTTTCGGGTCTCCGCCCACATCTCCCAATTCCCTGGTGTTTGAGCCATCACGCTTTGGGCCAGTTCGAGCTTTCTACTGGCGTCATGCTTAAAGGGGGAAACATAAGCACGGCCCTCTTTTCTGCTGGGTTTTCTCCCCGCTCTTCCCTGAATGCACGCTTCTCTTTGTTCTCTACACCCTTTCTCCGTCTTTCAATTCTGTTGCTCTTATTTTGTCTTTGTTCCCGCTTTTACTGCATTTCTCGGCCGCGCTTCTCCCCATCCGTTCGCCAGCTTGTCTGCTTCATTACCCAACTGCATTTTTGGCCCAGTGGCCCATTTCTCTCTTTGCTGCTTTCTCCGATCTGCTCCCAACTTTTTGTTAAAACCCGTTCTTGCTTGTTTGCCCGCTCTTGGCCCCACAACTTGTCTCTCTGCTTTTCTCTTAGCTCATTTGCCAATTCTTGTCCACACACGGCCACACATTTCTCTTTGCCTTCTCCCATGCTCTTCTCACATCTGTTGTTTGTGCTCGTTTACGCGTGATTGCTATTTCACGCTCTTTCTTCTCTTTCTGGCTCCTGCTTGCTTTCTTACTCGCTTGTTTTCTCCACTCTCCCACCCTTTTGCCGTTCTTCTCCAGCGGTTCTTCAGTCCGAGCTAGGCGGAAAGGGCGTCGCTTTGTTTCCCTCCACCGACCGGCACAGCCATGAGGGGTCTTAACGGATTGCCATCCACGATGCAGAATGAGGCAAATATGGGTCTGCCACACCCCTTGCATGCCTGAGGTGCTTTACCTGGCTTGAAAGAGGCACTTTGAGACTTGGGGATTAAATTGGGTTGCCCTGGCGACAATTATCAGTTGGCCTCTTCGGGCGAGCGTGCGTGCTCACAGAAAAGCACTCGTCGAACCTCTACTGGTTTCTTACAGCTGCACGACCTTTTGATGCGCCAAAGTTGTCACATCCTGTGCGCGCAACAAAGCGCGATCGTTGTGCCGGGCGGTCTGCGTTCATTGCTGCGAGTGCAAAGCCAATCAGGGCCCTTGTTCATGTCTGACTGCATGAGTCTCTTCAGGCTTGGACTGATCAGGGGTCTCCTCCAAAACTATGTTATATGTGCGGGTAGACTAAAACCGAAGCAGAGTCAGAGAGCAACATTTCCTTGTGGTCCCAAGAATGTGATTGCTTGAGTCTGCCGTTTCTGCCGGCCCCATTTCCTTCAGGGCAGCATGGCAAAGTTGGCAGCCTGATTTGTCTTCTTGCGGCAATGCGGTCTTTCAGGGAGCTGCACCCATGGGTGGTTCCATGATAGGTTTTCTTTGCGCTGTCTGGTGTTCTTTCGGTTTGCCGGTCTCCGGGGTGTGACCTTATCCTTGGTCGGTGTTCAGGGAATCGACCTGGGAGTCGACCTCCGAAGTGGTGGACAGAAAATCCCCAAGCGATGCCCACATCAAATTTAAGCCCATATGGCTGTGGGTCAAAACCAATGGGATACCATTTTGGGGTAGGTCAATTCACCACCCATTTTAGCCTATTTTAGTGGGGGGGGGGTACGGGATTTTTGTTACTCTTAACATTGTGATGGTAGAACAGATAAACATCTACTCTCCAATGGAAGCCTTTCGGATGGGATGTTGTTGGAAGCTACCTTTCTTTTGGGGACTCCACTGTCGGATTCCATTGGAAAGACTGCTTGGCGGCCGTTTGGTTAAACATGAGGTTACCACCGACCTTAGGGGTGCCCTATGTGTAACTAAAACGAATGGGTCGGTCTTTTTCTTGGAGGACCGCAACATGATGGTGTCCCTTTTGGTTTCCCGTTCAAAACCCACGGCAATATCGGTACACAAAAAAAGACATCCAAATGTAGTTACCCTCCCACCAATTAGGGGGGGGTTCTGGAAGACCATTTTCCTTTTGAAGGGACCGGGTCACTGGCAGGTTCCACGTTAATTGGTGGGAGAGCATAGGTGTCTTTTTTGGTTGTGTTGGTCGAAAAATAGATGCTGGTTTACCTGGTGGTTTTTCTCATCTACCAGGGAAGCCCATCTATTTGCCCTAAAAGGACACCTATGTGGGAGAGCTGCTACGTTGACCCCCCAGTTGTTGCGCCCTCGCCCTTGGCTCAGCGCCGAATCGCTTCGGCCGGGCGTTTTTGCCGGCGGCCTTTCGGCCGGGCGTTGGCCGCGGCCGAGGGCATGGGCGAGGAGGAGGCTTGGAGGGCTTGCCGCTGTCACTTACCTGTGGGTCAAAACCAATGGTACCTTTTTAGGGCTAGGTGAATTCACCACCCATTTTAGTCCAGATTTTGGTGGGGATTGGGAAGTCACTAGGGGTACGATTTGGATTTTCACCCATGGCCACTTGGACCGCAGGAAACCTTAAGAGCATAGGTGTCCTTTTGACGCCTTTTGACCGGTTAGCTTGGTTAGAAATGGATGGGTTCCACTGGTTTAAATTGGTGTGCTTTATTCCGTTTACCAGGGCCATGGATCTATTTTTCCAACAGGTCACCTATGCTTAAGATGGCTTGTGCATGGTGTTCTTTCGGGTTCACGCCTCAATTTCAAGAATCACACCAAAGCTTGATTGCCACATATACAAACATATACAGACGTGTACGTACATATGCATACATATACATACATGTGCATACATATACATACATGTACATACACATACCGATTAATACATATACATACATAAACATACGTACATATACATACGCGTGCTACATACATACATACATACATACAGACAGACAGACAGACAGACAGACAGACAGACAGACATACCTACCTACCTACCTACCTACCTACCTACATACCTACATACCCACATACATATATTCACATCTTCACATATATACATTTCTATACATACATATATATATAAATGCATTTTCAGCTACATTTCTAGTTTATGTGTCAAACCGCAAACACGTCAGCACATTTCGGGGCGCGGATATTCACCGTCTAGTCCGATATGTTTAGGTTCATGGTACCTTCATTGCCTGCAAAGGCCTCTCCTCCAATGAGCCACGGGTGCAGAAACGTGCAATTGAGCACTGCTGTCAGCATGAGCGATTCTGTTCTCTCTTGTGGGCTTTGCGAAATGCAAGGCAGAAGAGAGTCATTAATTTACAGTTTTGTTGTCCATTGGGACGTCAGAGGATTTTGGAGATCCCACCTTCTCCTCCAAACCCCGGCACTTGGACTTGGATGGTTCATCAACTTGGGCCCCTGAAAGTTGCATGTTGAGGGGTAGACTGGTAGACAGTTGGGGTGGTTAAACAGCTTTGGACCACATGTTGAACAGTAAGTTTGGTGTTTTTTGTCTAAAATACGCGCAGTTCCGAGTGAATTTCGTGGCCAGGAGTGCTGGGAGTTCCTGGCCCAGCGACATGATCTGCGGGTGCGGGGACAGGACGAGGCGCGTCTCTCGAGACGGCGGGCTTGGTACGGGTCCTTGGTACCTTGGGTTGGGTCTTTAGACTTTAACATGGTTGTCGTTAGGAAACATTTTACATTTTTGCTTGTGGTTTAATGGGAAATCCCCTCTTAACTGCTAAAATTTAATTTTTTGCTCCCCTTCCAACGTCAACCAAGTTAACTTGTTGGAAAATCAAGTTGGGCTTTCCATGAAACCCGCAAAAAGCTGTTCACTTTTTGCAGAGGGGTCTCGCCAGCAACCAAGCTCATGAGGATTTCAGGTGCGCTTGACGAATCCCCTTGAACCAAGCCCAAAGCCGTCACATAGGACCCTCTGGGTTGGGGGGGGAGGCTGGTTTTCTCAGTTCAAAGCGAATCGCGAATCGACCTTTGAACCTTTTGGGTTTTCCCGATTTGGGCCACTAGCAACAGGTTCACAGGTGATCACCTTTTATCTCCAGGTCCTTTGGGCAACTGAGTGTTTTTGTGGACAGCTTCTTTTTTGCGCCCGTATGCCAGAAGGTGTATATACAAGAACTCAAAAAGCAGTTTTCGGGTTGGGGAAGCAAATCCCCCGATGGTGTGACCTGGTTTTCTGCTGTGCTCAAGACGTTGGCAGGTAGGGCTCACCTCGTTTTTCTACCGGTGGAGCTACGTTTTGATCACTCAGCCTAGTTTTTTTAGACTCCGTCGTGGGGGCCCTGGCACCTTGGTTGCATATCAGCAGGAAGATCGTGGACGGATGTCACGGAAGTGGAAGTGTGTCAGGTAACCCCAAATTGGTGGTTTGGATTGGTTGTTTGGGATTCGAACCCCTGGTTCGTGTAGAGGGTAGATGGGAAACCCCTCCTGAACCACAAAACCACCAAACCAGACCACCAAGTAGAGGGAAGCTGAGTAGGCTCAAAAGCTCAAAAGGTTGCTCTTGTCAGCACCCTCTCGCCGGTGTGATTTCCCTGGTGCTTGGAACAGTTCTGAAAGCGAGAAGATGGGCATTGTGCTATGCAGTCGACTTGAACAGGAACCCTGGCACCTCCCGCTGCCAGATGCCACTCTCTCATTGTGGAGCAAGGCCCAGCGGTCCACATTGTCATCATGGCTATAAATTGTACCAAGATTGCTAATTGTCAGATTCATAGTCACAACCACCATCACTGTTAACGGCCGTTCGTGTTGCCGCTACCAGCCCAGCACCATCACCACCATTGTCACCACCGCGGCAGCGGCGGTGGCAATCTAAAACATGGTTTTTGGTAGGCAACTGCATAGGGTGCATTTACCACACCACACACATGACACATGTCTCAAAATCCAACATCCCCTGGGGCACTGTGGCTCACATGTTGGCTCTGTGCCCTGTTTCTTCGATCCCCAACCTCTTTGTGTGCCCGAAAGCCAAAAAGATAATAAGGAGGTGTCCATTTGCTTAAGAGTATTTTTGCTTTTCCGTTGTTGTTGTAAAGGGCATCTATCACTACTGTGTTTTTTTTTTCTCCGAGGGACTTAAAGCAAATGGACGGAAGTCAAACACAGGTTTGAGCCTGGCAAAGTTGGGTTTTCCTCTCGTTGGCTCGCGCTTGGGAACTCAGCGCAGAGAGGTGCTGCGCGCACATCAAGAGTCCTGCCTGGCCGGGGAGCCCAACTCTGTGAGACCCTTTCGATCAGAAGCGTGGAGTAGTGCCTGCAGGCCTGAAGCAGTACCTGGAGGCTCCTGACCCTTTAAAAATGGGGTTATGACCCCTTTCGTTTGGGCAAGGACCCCATTTTTAAAGCGTCATGGAGACTCCAGGTAGTCTTCCCCAAAAGTCTGCGCGCGAAAACCGGTTCGGGAGGGAATCGGCTGGTTGGAGCAATTTCCCCACGGCAAACGACCGGTCAACCCCGCCCATCCTGGATGCTGGGCGAACCCAGATTCCCGTTGAATAGGGTAGCCTAGAGGGTTCCTCGGGACCTCATATTTGAGGATTTGCCCTCTGAGTAGCAGAATTGCTTCTCATCTGCCGATTGGCCATCCTGCGGTACCCCATGAGTGGGGACCGAGTGGCTTCCAAGTTCAAATTTCTCCGCGACTCGGTGCTCCATGTCCATTGGACAGGATCTGCCTTGTTTTTTTTGCGCTTGCGAGACTGTTCGAAGCTCCTCAATGTTATGTTGCTGTACGCTTCTGCCTGTCCCTTGGAATACTGTTACCCATCACTGTGGGATTGGGACTTGCACCGCGGATACATCTGTTTTTTTTTTTTTGGTTCGTTACATGTCACAGTAGCAGTGTCTGTGTGTTGCATGTTGTGTTCATGTGCAAGAAAAGGTATTCCCAGAGGCTCTAAGTACCTTCTAAGGAGGTACTTAGACCCCTTTTTACCCCCCCAAAAGCCATCCTCAGGAGGGACTTGGACCCTCTGGGACTGGTTGGGAGTTTCTTCATTGATGGAAGCTCTGGTGCCTGCTTCTCCATCCGCGCATTCGGAAGCTCACTCATTGAGGTGCTCATAGCTGACAAGCCCCACTCCAAGATTCGTTTTTATGTGAGCAACTCGGAAAGTACGGCTGGTACTCGTAGTTTCCACAGCCGTGCCACGGATCTTCCCAGTTCCCTTTGGGCTTAACCAACGATTTCAGTGGCAAGTTGGGCAAGGGTTGGGTTTGTCTCTAGGGACGCTGCCATGGATGGTCCCAGGCCCCAAAAGGGGCACCACAGGCGAAACCGCCGATGGAAGACCTTTTCGCAGGCGGCGCTTTTCCTCGTGCAGGGCAGATATCCGGAGGCGATCCCGGCCGGTCCGTTTTTTATTTGTTTGTTTTATTATTATTATTATTATTATTATTATTATCCGAGTGGACTTGTGAAAGCCAGGCGCCTGTTCGGGGAGTGCACATCCATTCCCAGAGGGTTCCTTGGAACCTCATATTTGAGGATTTGAAGAATCTGTAATTGACGAATCCCCGAACGAACCAACCCCAAAACCGAAAAATATGGGGGGGGGGGAGGGGGAGTTTCGACTATACAAAAGCGCCTCCCAGAGCAAGCCACATATTTTGTGTCTTATTGTGTTTTCTTTGTTTTAGGGTTCCACCCCTTGGGTCGGGTCGTTTCATGCGGCTCTCGGAGTGTTTGACAAAGGAATCCTGAAGGCCCCGCACCTTCGCCGGCCTCTTGAGGTCGCAGATAGGTGCTGGGCCCTTCTGTTTGGCTCTCCCCCTAGAATCCCAGAGGGTCCTAAGTACCCCATAGATGCGGCATTGGGGTGGAAGCCCAAAACAACGAAAACACAAGACACAAAATGCCCCCACCCCTCTGATTGGAAAGGTCCTTTTTTTAATTGTGCCTTGGTTGCCTCCAGCCCAGACTTGACCTCAAAATTGGCCAATTCAGTTCCTCATCTTCAAGGTATCAGCGGAAAGTGAACCTATCGGATAGTTGTTACGGAATGCTGTGACCATTTGAGCTTTCCATGGTAATTGGTGCTTCTCCCAATTTCCAAGCGATACGGATCTGTTGTGAATCAGAACGGATCTGAGGAAGGCCCGGAGGTGTTTGACCTTCGATTTCCATCATGACAGTTTTCTTTGCCGGGTTTGGCCAAAGGCGGTTTGGCCTTTGGCCTGGTCTGGAAAAAAACAAAACGGACCAGCGCAATTCTCCTTGCCTCAGACACAATTCTTTGAGCGCCGCTGCAGAGAGGAGTTCCCCACGTTCGGAACTCTACCAGTTGTTTCTGTGCGCATCCATGACTTCCACTTGATTGTTTTCACCATCACTTTCAGGGAACGCCTAGTTGGTGGTTTAGATTGGTGCTTTGGTTGTTTGAACCCCTGGTTCTTGTAGAGGTTAAATGGGAGCCTACCTTTAACACACTAAACCACCGGGCTCGAAACCACCACACAACGAGAGAAGCTGAACTTTGGGTTCATTTCCCAGAGGGTCACTTGGGATTTGAGGAATCTGTTGTTGTTGTTTTCTTGAACCAAACCCGAAGCCGTAAGCATGGGGGTACTCTGCGGACCCTCTGAGTTGGGTATAAACGCAATAAGACCAACAGTGGCAATATGATTGGGGGCCCCTAAGTACTCTGCATGGACAAAATCCTGCACCACTTTGAAGCCATGGGCAAGCATTCTTTAGTATCTACGTCGGGAAATCGAATCAGACACCATGGCTTAGGTGCTGCGAACTGGATTTCGCTCTGCCATCTACCAGATTAAGGGACCTGCCCCCAAAAGAAGAGTGTTTGGATAGGTTGGTCTCCCTTCAAACCACGCCTATCCTTATGGCTTCTAGGTCCCCCAGGATCGTGCCCTTGCCGTTTCTGTTTTGGGGTTTGGGTTCTAAAATAGACAAACCTGACAACTTATTCTGATCTCTCAAGTCTGGAGGACCTAGGCTTCCTTTGGGCTAGCGCCAGGTAGAAAAGCTGGCGCCCGAGCTCCGGGCAGCCGGGCTCGGCTGCTTCATCCTCGACAGCGGGCGCGCTTTCGCGCTTTCGCCTTTCGCACGCGGCGATTTTGCGCGAGTGGAGGGGGGACGCGGTCCTTAGGTCTGAATGTATGAACCACACAGCTTGGTGGTTCCCAGTTATGCCAGGATAATTTTAGAACTTGTTGATGTTTAGTGGTTGGATTTCCAAATTCAACCCACAAGTTCTTCACTTTTCGCGGATTTTGCATAACGGAGAGCCCAGCTACCTCTATAAACCGATCGCGACAAGGAGATGGCACCATTTTTTGAGCTTGGCCTGGGCTTTGGCCGCACTTCCCTCAACGGAATCCGCGGTGAAAGTGGACGGCACCGTTTCCCGCACAACATGGGAATGGTGCCATCTACGTCTACCCAACTAGACTATGGAATGCGGAGATCTCTGACCCAGAGGGTCCGTCCTGAGTACCCCATAGTTACGGCTTTGGGTTTGGTCCGTTCGGGGATTCGTCAACAGATTCGTCAACTCAAATCTGAGGTCCCAAGGGACCCTCCGGGTGAACTGCTGGAAGGCTTCCACAGCAGCGCGGGAAGACATTTTTTCGTGCCAGGCATCCTCGCTTCCCGGAGCTCGCGGAGCACGGCCTGGCGCCAAAAGAAAAGAATGGGGCCTGCGTGGTTTGTTCCTGGCGACCTCCCCTTGCTCTGGTCAAGAGAAACCAATTGGGAAGCATTTTGCATTTTTGCTTATTGTGGTTTAGTGGGAAATCCCACTTACCTGCTAAAGTTTGATTTGTTGCTCCCCTTCCAACGTCAACCCAGAAAGGACAACCAACCAAAGGACAAGCAACCAGCCTGCCAGCCAACCCACCAAGCACGTACGAGGCTTTCCCAGAGGGAAACTCTTCGCCTGGAGCAGAAGCAAATGTACACTGAAGTAACTTGCGCAGGAACAACCAGGAGTCACATTTAATTCCGAAGGGAATGGAAGTGAATGGAATGGAATGGAATGGAATGAATGGAATGGAATGGAATGGAATGGAATGGAATGGTGCAACGTTGCACGGTACAGCACAGCATGATATGGCTCGGTATGGCACTATATTCAGTTTGTGGTATGGAATAGAGTTGAATGGAATGGAGTCGGCCGAACGAATGACATTTTTGCTGGAAGTTACTACACATTTGCCCGAAAGCGTTTGTTGGTTTTGGACCTCCTCTTTGCCATCTCTCAGTCTACAAATCGAGTTCTAACATCAGCTATCGCTTCATTATTGTGACTGGAACTTATCTTGTCAATCCCTACACCATGAAGCAGACACGCAATTCCACATGAAGTAACACTTGTTGATGCATTTAGCTCGCTTAAGGCTCTGGTGGCATTTGCAGTGGGCATGTAGTTTAAGCTTCTCAGCTCCAAGGTTGCAATGTCCCTCGCCAGCAGTTGTTAATGATGGGATCCGCCAATGTCCAATCAACTAACATGGTCTTCCAAACTAGGGTGACTGGCCCGGGAAGACCCCGGAGTGCGGGCTCATGTTCCTTCCAAGAGAGTCCAAACAATCAAAGAGTCTCACTTCCCGAGTTCCGTTTCGGACTTTAACAACTTCTTTGGGAAGACCAATTTAGTAGCAGATAGAAAAATATGTCGGATGTTTTTGGCCAATCCACGCGTACGGAAGTGAAGAGCACTCCCCCTTTGCTTGATTGCTATTGGGTTGGATCTTTAGACTTTAACTTTTTGGAAAATCAAGGCGTTTTCCACTAACCCCCCAAAAAGTTAAACTTTTTGCAGCGGGGTCAACAGCAACCAAGTTTGCAGGTTCCTTTTACCCTGCCCTCGGATTCTTTTTCGACCAAGAAGATCCGTGGGACCGTGGGGCCCTGAGGCCTGAGCGCAGTGCTGCACCGGCCTCTAAGCCGCTTGGCCTTGATGCGAGTTCGGTCATGGGCTTCGCGAAGGTAATGTGGGTCACTGAAGAATAAAGAGGCCCTCCCTGCCCTGCCCCCAAGAGAAGAAAAGCAAGTTGAGAGGAACCACTAGAGAAGCCACTAAAACAATTTCGTAGGGGTCGGAGGTCCCGAGGTAGTCGTATGTTTGAGTATCTGGGTTTTGGTTGTCCTCTCTCCTTGGGCAATTACGGGCTCGCAGTTTCGGGGGCGCGGACTCATAAACAATCTGGGCTTGGAGAGAAATCTGAGTCACATTTCCCGGCGGCTGGGGCGGCGTTCGTTTGGGAAACTTGTGTTTTTTGCTTGCGAGAAGTCGTCTTGTAGTGAGTGAGCCCTGTTTCTTATCCCGAGGACCGGACAAATTCCGAACAACTTTCCTGAATTTGATACCAATTGAATCGGTGACCAACATTCGATGTAGTTTAGCGCTCCACTTTCCTTATCTGACACGACGGAAATTTATGCCATTTGCTTTCCCCCCGTTCGGGACATTGGGGACTCACTCAATTTTCTTATACACACCACTCATTTGCTCATGTCCATGGGAACCGCATATTTTGACAGTGACCGTGGCTGTTTCACAATTCCGACCCACCCACCCTTTTCTAGTGGGTGTTTCAAGGACAAAAGCCTTACACCAACAAAAGAGGGCAGCCCCTTTTTGGGTTGTTCGCAAGAAACCAATGAGCCGACTCAAGAGAGGAGTCCGTTCTTTTTGCTCTTGGGCGATGCTTTCAATCTGTCTCCAATTGAGGGACTGGAATTTGGCTTCCTTCTCGCTTTGCATCCAAAAGAGTCGATGTTGGCGAGACAGACCCCATGAATCGTTTTAGGGTAATCGAAGGAACACCCAGCCCTTGCGCTCGGGATGGGTGCTTCAAGCAAGCCTGCAATTGCATTGATGCCATGCAGCCCTCGATTGGGATGCGGCGTGGGGATTGGCAAGCCGCAAGCCCAAAAATTCCCAGTATATAACGCCCATATTTGTTGTTAGAACCACCCTGCCAGCTGCCCTGTAGACCAGGCTTACCAAGGATCATTTGCATTTGTGTTCTCACAAGCTCGCTGCGGGTATTTCTTGTTTTTGGAGGGTACCATGTGTTAGTTTTGGTAGAGGGCAAACACAGGGAAATCACCAGTTTGAATGGGAACCCAGTTTTGGTCTAGGCCCATGCTCGCCGGCAGGAAAGGATGTGCCGCAGCAGAGCAAGGACAGAGTGCTTTATTCAGTGTGCACCCTTTGTCCCCTTTGTTTGGTGGGTTCCCCATCAAGAGATCCGAACTGTTTGCATGTGCCTGAATCTCAACATGTTGAGGTTATGCATGGAACCACGACCTCTAGACTGTACAAAGAGGGCCCTTCTGTTTGGTTCGTTTCTGCCCTTGTTTGCGGTTGGCACTCACTCCGGAGCATGCGGCCAGATTCGGAGTTGGTGCTCTTTTGGGGATTGTGAAGGGAAACCAAACGGATTTTGTTTGTCGGAGTGTCGTGGTTTTGCATCAATGCCCGTATGCCATTTTGCGTGGCTTATGCCCACGTGACAGGTCAATCGGGTTCGACTTTGATGCCAGGCTCCTCTTTACGGTTGCCCTTTCTCACCCCTTTTTTGGGGGAGGGTTTCCCTACTAAAATAGACTACAGCAAAAGTTGGTATCCTTATTCTAACCTCTCTACTGGAGGACCTAAACAATTGTTTGTATCATTCAAATGAGCAGCGCCATAAGCCCTCGCAATGACCACAGCAAGGTGTCCTATAGAAGCCAAAACCCAGGCCGCGAAGCTCGCAACAACTACTCGCGGAAGTGCCTAAAGAAGCCCCTGCGAAAGCGCACATTCTGAGGGCATGTTTGGCACAGTCCGCCGCCAAAGCGTTATTGCCAAAGCACTGAAAGCAAACTGGTATTGCTTTTCACACGAGAGTTTTGGGCACCGCTCAAACTTTGAATTGCTTGGGATGCCTGCTTTGGTGTGATGTGCACAGTCTGCATATGATGTTAAGCATTCTCTCTCTCCCCATGTAGACATATAATATATATATATATATATATGGTTCCGGTCAGCGAGCGGCCACCCCCCCCCCCCCGAATGGTATCCCCCCGCCCCACAAGGGGGTACGACTCTCGAAGCCTTGGCCCTAACCGGAACCCACCAGCGGGCGCACAGGGGGGGGGGGGGGAGAGGCCTTTTGCAAGATGACCATAACCTGCAAAACCAGCGGGCCCACAGGGGAAGGAGGGGGTGGGGCCCTATTTCAGGCTACCATGACCGTGGCGGGGGGCGGGTGCCAGACCTCTACCATATATATTTGTGTATGTTTATATATTTATTTATCTATTATGTATTTTACTTGCTCATTGTTTCTGGTGACCTCCGCAACCTTGCGAATCATACTTGACATCTGCCATTTTGGGCCACAAGTCACGGATCGTAGGTGCCCACACTAGACTTCATTCTAGGGGTTGATTCCTTTTTCATTCTCTTCAACCATCGTTCTTTTCAAGAACCGGATCCGTTTCCCCTGGTTTTTCATGGTTTCCTGAAAAGAAGGATCCCTGGAACGAATGAAAATGGAAGGTACCCCTAGAGTCACGGGTTCTGTTCCTAGTGACACCGTCGCCATCGGCAGGAGCCGGCGCACCTCCTGGAGTGGCTTGCCTTCCAGAGCGTGTCGAGCTAGTGGTTTTGCTTTTCTGATTTGGTCGGACTAAGGGTCTGGGAGTGTCCAACATACCCAGAAGGCCAGAAGGTCCCAAGTACCCCATATGTGCGGTTTTGGGCTTGGTGCAAGGGGATTTGTCAACCACGGATTCCCCAAATGATCGGAACCGACCTCTTGGTCTTCGCTCTTTCTCGGTTGAGCCAAAGTCGCGTTTCCCTTTGAGCCACGCCACCACTGCGCACCGGGGGCCCCAACCTCGGGCTATTCAATGGCTCCTTTAACAGTGTCGGGCACTTGAGCAGGTGAGCTGCGTCCACAACCTCTTAGTACATGCTTAGTAAGACTCGCGTCATATCGACCCTTGAGCCAGGACTCCACGCGCAAGGGGTGAGCGATTTTTTGCGGAGACCTGTTCTGCCTCAACGAGAATTGTCCCATCGCGTTCCGGCAAGCAGGGGAACAAGTGAGCTAGCATTTGCAGCATGCTAATGCCTTTCCATGCCCGTTCGGTGGTTTTCCTGGCCAACAGGCACTGCGAGACCGCGTGAAACGGTTGAGCGCGCGTATCATCGGGCCCTGTTTGCTGCAGGATGCGCTCGGAGTCCTTGGGCTCGTTGTACCGCGGTGACCGCGAAGTGAGACGAAGTCTACCCCGCTGCCGCACTGATGTCCACAGGAGCTCCGTCCAATCTGCAAGCACGTAAGTGCGCAGGCGTGCCGTCAAGAAGCCTGCGCGGAATGTTGCGCAAACAGTTTTTCGTGAATCTATCACCGATCTTTCGAGGAGGGATAAAACCAACAGCAATGGTCACCGAATACATAACTGCATCCAAGGACGTTTTGGGCGGCGCCTCTTGCCGAGGAGTTCTTTCTTACCCCAATGAAGGATTTGTTCGGTAGTTTTGGCCTGGGTTTGTTTGGTGTTGGTCTAGGGTTGGCTTAGGGTCGGTTGAAGGTGGGGTTAGGTTGGCTTTGGTGGGTTTTGCTGTTGGCTTAGGTTTGTTCAGGGTTATGGGGTGTGTGTGGGTTGGGGTTTGCATATGTCCGCTCAAGGTTGAGTTGGTGTTGGGTTTATTTGGTTTGGTTTGAGGTTGGTTCAGGGTTGGTTTGAGGTGGCTGTTGGTTTAGGGTTGGTTTAGTGAGCTTAGGGTTGCTTTAGGGCTGCTTTGCTTTGTTAAAAATCTGTACTGATGGCGTCGACTACACGAATAGCATATCGCTGTCCAGGCAACGCCACCCACGATCGTTGACTCAGGGTATGCTCATCCTGCGAAGCGCGAACCGACTCCGTCTTGATGTGGCCGCGCGACGGAAAATCTCATCTCTGCGGCCTCGCTGCGGCCGCTGACCTCTGAGAGAGGCGGCAGGGCCGACGGAGCTACGTGCGAAACATCCACAAAGCTATAAGGCCCGAACGGAGAGGGAGACGCGCAGCACCTTTGTACTTGAACCCTTGGCTTGCGTGCGTTGGGAATGGTGCAAACCTTGCCGTTGGCTGGGCTATGTTGGAGCAAGTTTCGCGAAAGATCCGCAAAAGACCGGCGAAAACCCAAGTGGCAAGGGCAAATGATGTTGGCTGCTTTCATTCTGCTGCACAAGCCTGCAGTGCAAGCGAATGCGCAGATGGCGTGTTCTGGAAACCGAATCATATTGGTCAATTGCCACATGCGTTGCGTAGAGGCTCCACGCGCGGAAGGTGGCGTCAGCTGGCGGCGCAAGAAAATGGTACGACGTAGCAAATCATGAAGCGTTCAGGTCAAGTTGAAGACTGGTATGTGCGACAAAGAAGGCTGCAAGGTACTGTTTGTCGCTTGGAACTTGTTAACCAAACCACTCCTTTGAACCCAATTTCAAAAAACGAGCGTCTCCCATGGTTTGTTCTTTTGTGCCTGACTTGGGTACGCGTCAGAATACGGGGGGCCCATAAAAGTGGTGTCTTTTTGTCCTCGAAACGCTGTGCTTCCCAGGCCCGAGACGCCACCACTGCAACTTGGCAGGGTGTCTCCGAGCGTGGGACCTGTGAGGATATCCCTTGCTGGAGTCCTTTGAGTTTAAAGGGATACAACAACTGACTGGTGTCGGGGGGCCGTTGGGAGGCTGATCCCATCTAATTTTTATCAGGGGGTGGCTGGTTGGTTGCCTGGCTGCTTTGGCTGCCTGGCTGCTTGGCTGCTTGTCTGAATTCCCGCAATGAGGGCTTGGGTGGCGGGGGCTCAAAATGCTTGAGTCGGAAGAATGGATTCGATTCCCCCCAGGCCAGCCCCCAGCTCCGCACGAGCAGACGGGAAACTTTCTCATTAGACGGTCGAATTCTTATGACTTTCTGGATGTTCATTTCGGGTTGCCCTGGGTATCTGGGCAACCCTAGGTTTCGTTCACCCGCCGCTTGGGTTGGGTTGGGTTGGGTTGGTTGGCGTGGCTGCGTGGCTGGCGAGGCCCTTGTCAATCATCGCCTCGCATGTCACTGAGGCGGGGGGTTTCGAAGCCGATAGGACCTTGCAACTGCTCGGCGCAAGTAAATGAAGACAGCTCCCCTCCCACCGACTAACATGGAAGTGCACCCACCCCGGTGGAAAGATCATTTTTCTTGGAAAGGGAATTTGTGCACTTCCATGTTAGTTGGTGGGAGGGTAGTATTTGATCTTGGCATGTTTGTTCCCTTGCGAGTTGTTTGGGTCTCTTCATTCAGGTCAGGAAATTCAAGCAAGAACATGTTTCACGAATATTTCCATAGTTCGGAACATGTTTGGTACTTGGGTCCCGAAGGGTCACATTGGGCAAGTTCCGTTCGTGTGCGTATTCACGCTTCGCGCCAATGCACCGAGTTGCAAAGTGGGGCTTGCAACCTCCAGGACGGTTTCCCTAGGATGGGATGCCTTTCGGTATGATCATGCGCCAGTACTCCACTTCCGGCGCAATTTGCGAATATTGTGACTATGTGTGGCAGGCCCCACGTATATTTGTTTGACAGTGTAGCCACATGTTCTGGGAAGCTGGGCTGACGCCGTATGGCAGGTTCTTTCGTTTGTTTGGCGGTGGGCCTGAACCCTCACCCAAAAGCTTCGTTTTGGGGGTCCAACGAGTTGTGCCACCTGCCTCAACATGTGGACGAGTGCCTCTCTTAAATTTTGGGGGTAGCGAAGTCGATTGAGGACATGAGTCACTTTGATCCTTGCTCCGTCCACAGCCTTCATTACGAGGACACAGATATGGCCCTCAGACTATGTATGAGTCGAGGTTTGCTCGCTTGGAATGTTGGAGGTAGAGATACTGAAGGACAAGACCGAGACGTGCAAACTCAATAAGAACTAAGGGTCTGATGTCATCTCTATCGCATTGTCTTCCTCTGTATCTAGGAGTTTTGCTTGGTTTTTGTCTTTTAGAAACCATATTAATTTGTAGGGTTCAATCTTCTCTTTGTCCTACCTATCACTCAATGGTCCTCCAATATGCATCTTCACTATTTGATGATGCAAGATACCAAACAATAAAGTGAACGAGATATCAAAGATAGAAAGGAAATGCTATACAACAAACCAACACAATGAATCATATTTGTTTTGTGTTCAACCTCAATAACTTAGACAATGACGACAAGATGTTCATATAGCCTGACAAGGACTAGAGATTAGCAGCTTTGAAATACCATTTGATATCGATTCTTGGTCATGATGTTTGTTACATAGGATTCATGTAAAGCAAGCACACATTACGTGGGAAGGGTTACCGGCAAGGAAGAGTTAGATTATTACCTTATCGTAAGTCCCATCTCGCTCTCGTTCTCCTTTCAAAAACTGCCAATCGTATTGACATCTTGGCCAATACTCAGTTGTTCAAAGCCGACCTTTTGACCTTTTGGTTTTCCCTTGGTCTATTTTTAGAGGTCCCAAAAGGTGATCACCTGTTATAAACAGGTCCCTAAGGGGCAACTGATAAGAAAGCCTGGGAAGCGCCAGCCGTTTCTCTCTGGCACAACTTGGACAGGGAGACAAAATTTGACGTGAGGCATCCGGTGGCGAGATGGCAGACCGGCCAATCCTTTTCTTTGGCGCATTTTGCGAAGGGATGTTAGGACTTCAACTTTTGCCAAATGGATTTTCCGTATGAAGAACCGCTCAAAGCTTGGTCACTCTTAGCAGGGGTCTTGGGGTACCGCATGCAACGTGCTTCAGCCCACGGCCGCCTTCTGGGACTCTAGTGGCGACGAGGACCCGAGGTTTTTTTCACACGCAGTGGAAAGTTCCGGCAAAACTTGGTGGCTCCGAGCCATCCCCTTAGCTTTTCAGCCTTGTAGTGTTTGGTGGTAGTTTCCATTTAACCCACTAAAAGCTAAACTTTTAGCGGGGGATCTGAGGGCAGCCCAGTGTAGGTTGCCATTTGTGGTAGCAGTGGGGTTGCAGTTTTCGATGATACCACGGGGGGTGCAATGTGTGTGTGATAAAAGGTGGGTTGCAATTGTTTGTGCTACCAAGGCTCCGAGGTGGTTGACATGTGTGATGCCAGGGTGCAAATGTGTGTGATATCACAAAGCGGAGGGGTTGCAATTGTCTGTGTTACCCCGGGTGATAACTGGGGGTTTCTGTTTTCTGTGATACCAAGGGGGTCGTCATTTGTGATATCAGGGCGGTTGCTGCAATTTCCGTAGTACCTGGGCTGGTTGCAAGTTTCTGTGATACAAGGGAGGTTGCAATGTTCTGTGATACGGGGGGGGGGGCGGAGGGGGTTGCCACTTGTGATATAGTGTGCTGCCAAGGGGGGTTCCTTTACAGCGAGGCAGTCATAGGGATGGGAATGTCAGAATATCAGGCAAAGGGTTGTTTGGGTTTAGTGAGTTGGCCGCTACCACCAGCAGTGAAAGGACCGCCCGTGGGTTTTTCTGCCCGGGTCATTTGGTCCAGGACGAGAAGGACGAGGATGACAAGAAGGTGGCGGAGCTCGGAAAGCGCAAGGCTAAGAGTGAGATAGAGCAGGAGGCGAAGCAACCTGAAGATGACGACGAAGAGGAGGAAGAGGAGGAGGAGGAGGAGGAGGAAGAGGAAGACGACGGAGAAGTTCCGATGCAAAAGCAGGAAGCAACAAAGCCACAGGAGCCGGCGAACGAGGCGGCCAACGAGGATTCGCACAAAGTGGAGGAAGCGAGGGCCAAGACTCCGGAGAAGTCGGGCGAGCTGAGAGCGAGTCCAGCGGCTCGCTTCACTG